ACAACCTCCTGGCTAGTAGTTAAAGACCAGAGCTAAATGTTCTAACAAAATGGCCAGGGCTAATGATTAGTGGTGTAAACGGCTTGCATTTGGACAGGATATAGCGCCACTCATCATTTAATCGCGGAATGCGGACCAGTTGTTCGTCTGTAGTTCGGCTCCCCGAGTGACGGCTGGACGTATTACTCGTTATGTGATATGTTCCTTCTTTCGAGATGTCTAAATTTTGTTGACAGTTGGTATAGTAAGGATTATGCGCACACCACCAATGAAAAGCAGATTACAAACTATCATTCTACGATCTCTCTATCAACATGGTTCGACTCGATTTCTCACGGAGGAAGGGCGCCGTTTGGTGCCTACTACATGTTAGTCGTTACCTTGTGTTACACCTTTGTACCGATTGGGAAGAGCCCTTCAGCACAGGTTGTGTTAACTTAAGTTTTACGTTCCCCCTTTTGCCAAATAAACCGACTCCGACTCATTTTGATGAAAAATAGTTCTCACATCACAAGTTAGCAATGCCAGAACAACAGCCTCTAGGCAGGTGATCTCAGAAATCCACCCCATGAAAAGGGGTGGATTAAAATAAAACGATAAAGTTGCTCACAGGTGAAGGCGATATATTAAGACATGTCACTCCAGGTCACCATTTTACTGTGCGTATATTTAACTGTGCGCTCACAAGGTGACGATCTATTTGGAGGTAGTTACCCGTCCGCCTGCAGAAGAACGCTCGGTGGTAGTTGAAGGCTCTCTACCTATTGTTTGTTCCGTCGCTGCAAGGCGACTCCAGTATAGACTATAAACTCAACGGCACAAAAAACAAACTGATCAGCGCTTGACCGTATCTATACAAATCCGTTACCAAATCAGGACAACTAAAACGATTTTGTTTTTATTTTATTTTATGGTAAAATGTGTTCGACAGTAGGGTTGGTCTTATATGGGCAGTACTCGGAGGCTATTTTAATGGGGACCGGTAAATTAGGGCTTACACTGTCTTTAAATTACTTGTTTGTCAATTAGGTGTAGTGAATGGATACAAATGGAGTTAAAACGAATGAGGAGCACAGGTAACCGACCAGGTTCAAAATACGAGAAGCGGAATACTGTTCTTAAGGGGGAATACTAATGTGACAACGGATACTACTGCTGAGGCAAACGAGTAGCATGGGGCTATCGGAAATCTCCGCCTCGCGTCTAATGGATGGTGGGGTTTATTACAAAACTTGAGGAACTGCTTGGCAGCGTTCGTTTACAATTGCGTGATAGTCAATGAATATCCACGAAAGTTCAAGAAGACGCGTGAGGATGTTCAGTTTTGAAAAACAAGGTGCATATGAGACGTTTATTTTTCTGTCCAGTAGCTTGTAACTGTTTGTTTGGTGTTTGCTACTAAACGACTTCGCGGCGAAGGGCTTTTCTCCGTACACCAGCACTGCTGGTTATCTTCTCAAATTCCTACGTCTAGTTATATCTCACATGTACCAGCCAGGAATCCAAGTGTTGTTCTTACAATGCTGAAATTTTAGAAATGCTTTGATTTATACTGCGGAGGCGCCAGATGATTCGTAGTATACATTGTCGAAAGTAACCAGCATATTGAAACCAAACGGGGTGGTTGGCCCTGTCTGGAGTTGCTGAACTCCTAGCTCACCCAGACTGACGTCCAGGCTACCCGGTCGGCACTACGAGGAGGTGGTTCAGCTCGCCAACCGCTGGTGTACCTCTTCTTTTAGTTCTGTACAGTGAATATTCCGGCGGTGATAGTGCCTCCCATGGTGTGCATCATTGCTCTTATAGCATTTGAACTTTACAATGCTGTTAGAATCCGGACTCTTTGGACAACGCCTTCAAACGTAGGCGTTCAAAGTGAAAAGGTATACCTAATTTCGCAACGCACAAGTTTAACGGCTGTGGTTCTCATTGTGCTGTTAAAGCTTACCTGTCGCTAGTAGGTACTCGTATGCTCCGTGTTGTTACCTATTATGCGCTTAAAAATAAATTACCTTCCGTCAAAAAGATTGTTTGCTATTCTTTGAGATATTGTGCCCTTGCTTTCTAGTCGCAACTTGCAGCGGCGTCACTTTCGTTCCGCCGTCATCTCACAAAATCAACAAGCGGTTACACAAAAATGGGGAAATTTTTGGTAAAACGTACCTGTCCAAGATATTGATATTGATTTTCAGCACATGTATAATGTAACGACAGAACAGAGAGTTCAACCAAAAGATGGAGTAAAGGCCATTTGCTACATATTCGGAAAGCTGCCTAACAAAGACGACTTTTGTAAGATAAGCAAACAATCCTTGAAAAAAAATTTGTCTCACTTCAGTGTAACCATCGCATGCTAGTTCCCAAACTCATTGCCACAAATAATCAAATGAAGGGTCACTATCAGAGACCACACCTCTAACAAGCATGTTTGTTTAAAAATAAGTCAATACCGTTCATAGCATAACCAGTTTAGGAAATCTCAGGCAGCATGTCACCCTCCGAATAAAGGCAATCTGTGCTGCAAAGCACAAACGTACAGTGCAGCTGTTTCAGCTCTACTGGAATCAGTAGTAGTGCGCACTTCAAGAAACCATAAGGAGGTTCGAAATCACAACCTCCTGGCTAGTAGTTAAAGACCAGAGCTAAATGTTCTAACAAAATGGCCAGGGCTAATGATTAGTGGTGTAAACGGCTTGCATTTGGACAGGATATAGCGCCACTCATCATTTAATCGCGGAATGCGGACCAGTTGTTCGTCTGTAGTTCGGCTCCCCGAGTGACGGCTGGACGTATTACTCGTTATGTGATATGTTCCTTCTTTCGAGATGTCTAAATTTTGTTGACAGTTGGTATAGTAAGGATTATGCGCACACCACCAATGAAAAGCAGATTACAAACTATCATTCTACGATCTCTCTATCAACATGGTTCGACTCGATTTCTCACGGAGGAAGGGCGCCGTTTGGTGCCTACTACATGTTAGTCGTTACCTTGTGTTACACCTTTGTACCGATTGGGAAGAGCCCTTCAGCACAGGTTGTGTTAACTTAAGTTTTACGTTCCCCCTTTTGCCAAATAAACCGACTCCGACTCATTTTGATGAAAAATAGTTCTCACATCACAAGTTAGCAATGCCAGAACAACAGCCTCTAGGCAGGTGATCTCAGAAATCCACCCCATGAAAAGGGGTGGATTAAAATAAAACGATAAAGTTGCTCACAGGTGAAGGCGATATATTAAGACATGTCACTCCAGGTCACCATTTTACTGTGCGTATATTTAACTGTGCGCTCACAAGGTGACGATCTATTTGGAGGTAGTTACCCGTCCGCCTGCAGAAGAACGCTCGGTGGTAGTTGAAGGCTCTCTACCTATTGTTTGTTCCGTCGCTGCAAGGCGACTCCAGTATAGACTATAAACTCAACGGCACAAAAAACAAACTGATCAGCGCTTGACCGTATCTATACAAATCCGTTACCAAATCAGGACAACTAAAACGATTTTGTTTTTATTTTATTTTATGGTAAAATGTGTTCGACAGTAGGGTTGGTCTTATATGGGCAGTACTCGGAGGCTATTTTAATGGGAACCGGTAAATTAGGGCTTACACTGTCTTTAAATTACTTGTTTGTCAATTAGGTGTAGTGAATGGATACAAATGGAGTTAAAACGAATGAGGAGCACAGGTAACCGACCAGGTTCAAAATACGAGAAGCGGAATACTGTTCTTAAGGGGGAATACTAATGTGACAACGGATACTACTGCTGAGGCAAACGAGTAGCTTGGGGCTATCGGAAATCTCCGCCTCGCGTCTAATGGATGGTGGGGTTTATTACAAAACTTGAGGAACTGCTTGGCAGCGTTCTTTACAATTGCGGTGATAGTCAATGAATATCCACGAAAGTTCAAGAAGACGCGTGAGGATGTTCAGTTTTGAAAAACAAGGTGCATATGAGACGTTTATTTTTCTGTCCAGTAGCTTGTAACTGTTTGTTTGGTGTTTGCTACTAAACGACTTCGCGGCGAAGGGCTTTTCTCCGTACACCAGCACTGCTGGTTATCTTCTCAAATTCCTACGTCTAGTTATATCTCACATGTACCAGCCAGGAAACCAAGTGTTGTTCTTACAATGATGAAATCTTAGAAATGCTTTGATTTATACTTTGGTTTTTAGACGTTTGAAGGCATGTTTCATCTAAGCTATTGTCCCAAGCAATATGATTCCAGAACCACTGAAACTCACAAGTGCTACTGCTTCCGTCAGCTTACAGATTTTTTCCAACCTTCCCCATTATTAGCAGTAGAACACAGGCGGAATTGGAAGTCGAACCAATAGTTCAACAACTTCGGGCAATGGCTGATCTTGTGGACTATAGTGTTATTAGTTTATCCAAAGGCTAACTGTCACCTGCCACCAAATTGTGGCACACCACAGTTGCCCTGATTCCTGCGTCTCTATGTACTATGGAGGGAGTGCTGTCTGATGTTTTAGCCCGCCTGATGCTGCATGAATATAAAAAATAGTAGTACTTCTGACTACTTTCTTAACTGCCCTTGATTACTACTGTCCGAGAAGAACGCATGAAAAAATAAGTCGCAAAAGCATTCAATGCACAAAGACTAGTGTAAGAGAAGGTAAAAATATGAAAGCTTTAGTCCTACAGAATGGTCCAAATAGCTCGCAAATGTATTTGTGATTTCTATCTAGAACTCCATTAGCGCGCTTATTGTTATGTTATGACTAAGCAATAATGACCAAATCCTGTGCGTCTTCCCTTGATTGACACCAGAAACATAAAAAAACATCATTCGGGTTTCGCAAATAATGCCAGTCCATTTTGCGTAGCCATGTCCATTTTACTCTATCGACGTGCTTATGAGTGATGGAGAAAGTTGGAGCACCAAACGACCAATCAGCATTCAGAGCTGATAATAATACACACTGAGCTGATAAACTGCTCATGCCTAGCAAAACCACTCACGCCATTTTACGGTAGAAATGTACGGTCTCCTTATTGTGGGCGTTCAACACTTTATTGAAACCTATTACGGTCAACATGTTTGGCCCCTCGTGGTGGCTCGTGCTGGTCTGACAACACTGGATTATCAAACGCAAAAAATCTATTCCGAAACTATCATCGAGCGGCTAATGGTGGCTTTGAGCCAAGAGACTGGTCGGAGCGTGGAAGAATTGCGTTATCAAAACGGATTATCTTTTGCTGCGTTTACCGTGGAGTATGGCTACGAGAAATTGTTGCGTGTTCAGGGCCGAAGTTTTATACACCTCCTGCGCAATTTGGACAATCTACATGAACATCTGCGTTTTTCTTATCCGAAGATACGACCACCATCGTTCTTCACTGTCACGGAAACAGTTGATTCGATAAAACTGGTCTATTCTTCAAAACGAGTGGGCTATGAGCATTATGTCCGAGGACAGTTGGTCAATTTGGCCAAAAGATTTTTCAACCTTAACATAACCGTCACACTCATTTCTCGACGGATGGAAGGATTGGTGCATCACGTAATGTATGAAATCACCCATGATGGAAAAACCTGGGGTCTTCCCGGAGGTGACTATACGCAGACAACATTGCCCACATGGAGCCCAACTTTGCACAGTGATGAGTTCTTTGGCGTTGTCTCATTTTTTATCCTAATCACCCCAACCATGATAATTCAACGGGCCAGTGAGTCCTTTAATCGATTCGACAATGAACTGGAAGGCTCTGTGTTTAGTGAAAAGTTCCTGATCGGACGACCATACATCAACGCAACTTTCGAAGAAGTAAGAAGGGGTCGTTTTTGAAAGTTTGTCTGGAAACATGCACAATTATTCAAGTTTATAAATGATGTTGAAAGATTAGAGCCAGTTTAATTGTTAGAGTACCAAGTTGTCAGCTTGTGGCACAGATGAGATTCATTTTCGGAAATAAATATCACGCAAGCATTCATGTCTGTCGCAATGCAGGGTGGTCGCTCAGAGTAAAATGTCACATAGAATAAGGCTATGGTTTCTATAAACATGTGAAGGATAAACTAGTTGCATATGTCATACTGTGGTCCCCCTAATGAGCCCTTTCCAGAAGCCACCACCACATTCATAGATCTGGTCTAATGGTGTGACGTAATGTAACGGCACGGTTCCGTTAGCAACAAAGGGACTTGGATAGCTCACGCAATCAACAACTACGGTCCACGAATCCACCGCATTGAACATTGCTTCCAAACGTACAGTGTTACTCGCTGATGCAGTCGAGAGTGCTTCCTCCAAGAGAGGCCGACTCTTCAGTTGTGACCAGACGGTTCGTATCCCGTGAGCTATCTCTGCTTATGAAGGATCAGGTTAGTCTGGTACAAACTTGAGCTCTATGACAATGCTCTTGTTATAAATCACACTGACAACGAGCCCAAAATGATTGATTCAAAACAACCTTTTCCGGTAGTGCTTCATCTAGTTGTTTTTGACTCGTATGAGTAATTTTCTCGTATTTCACTGAGAATCGGACGTACTTATTTTCCAGCTTCCTCGAAGGACTGAAGTCCTCAATTTTTCCGATGAATCCAACCAGTTTAGTGAGCTTATTTACAGCGATAGAGTGTTACTGGTCATCAGGCTAAGGCTGTAGATTAAGCAGTTGGTTGTGCGCTTTTTTTGCGTTCTTTTCAAGAAATTACGATATCCTATTATTGGTTGTTGATCAGGTGGCTGTTGATCTGTTCGCCGAGCTGGGCAACTGGTTTGCAAACGTTTGGTCGCCATACGAGGGGTACGCAGTGTGCACTGATGTTGTCTCCAACCAATAAATTCATCCGAGTTGTCAATATTTAAACACGGTACCAAATTATTTTATTGCTAGTTCAGAAAGCTCTGACAAAATCAAAAGCAATACGGATCAGCATTTTTGTCGAGATTTTATATCGTATTCATTTGAACTCAAAGTTAATTGTGACAACAAATTAGGTACAACAAATCAGGTCCCTAAATCAGTCTAACCGCAGAGATAGTATGTCGTTGAAGAGACATGCAGTAAGCTAGTGTTTGGAAAGCGTATGAAGCCGCTAAGCCGGTAGTGCACTCAAAAATACCGACACCTACTTCAATTTTCTTACGTTTGTTGGTCGGATGGATACGATGACTCCTGTTTGTGGGTGGTTGGTTTCTCACTTACTAGCTTATCTTACTCTCTTATTTGGGGATAATTTCTTCATTTCCCGTAGGTTTTCCAATTGAATTTACACAAAATCATGAAAATATAAACGAAGAACAAACAGCATCTTGTAGAGGTGACAGTGAGTATCTATCTCGGGGCTAATTATAAAATGATGTTCCATATACTTTGCCCGCCCATGCCGAAACTTTGGGCGGCTGAATTTGAGAAGGAAACAAACTAATACAATGTGAAGATAGATAGTCAGCGTAGATTAGGTTGACCTCAACATAGAACCCCGACGGAGTCTTAAATAAATGTCTCGTTCAAGATGTTTTTATTAGTAACGTGACACACAACAGCCTTGGTGGTCACAATGTCGCAATGGGGAAGCTAATGAGGTTTTACTTGTGCTAAAATGCATCGTGTTGCCTGATTTTCGAACAATATGAAGCCGATCCATCTTGTCTAAGACCACTATTTTCAGTCGCCTCACCACACTCTGTTCCTGTGTCGTGGTACATGCTGAGTTGAAATATCGCACAAGCATTTACGATAAAAAATGGCGTTGAAGTCAGTCGCTGATTGCCTCGCTGCAATATACTCGCGAATGAAGTGGTTAATAGTTTTGAAAAAAATGGCGTTCAACACAATCTGCAATGCCGATTATGTGGGCGTCAAACAAGGTTTCGGTCAAATCACACCTACATCCGACTGAATACTGTTCAGTTCCTGCGCGATTGCTGTAGACTGTCCTGTTCTGTCACCCAAATTAACGAGGACAGCATGGGGATGTTGAAAACTCAAATTAAAGCGCTCAATCTTTTTAACACTCTTCGAGCAGATTTCCACACGGAGCTCCTGAATGTTGAAAATGTGTTTGGAGTCGGACCTCATTAATTGACATCATTGGAAATATTTAATCAAATGGTTCCTGGTGAATCTGCTTTCTCTTGCACAACGTTTGATTACCCTCAGTACTATCGGCCGACCCCTTATTGTGGTGTCGCAAGATTAGATGTGGAATTGTTGTAACTTTTTTCAAAGGTTTCGGCAGACGGATGTCTAGATGCCTTGCTGAAACGAGATTGTGGAGCATTGTCAGCATCGAGACAAGTTTAATGGAAACAGATAAGGTTTATTTTGCATGCAAAAGAAATGCAACATCTCAGTTTTGCAACACGGTAAATTTTATGGAAGTAGGTTTTTTCCTGACAAGCCCCAGAATAGTTCGACCTCTTCCGTAGTGTCACATTGCACGTGCTGACCACGCATCGGTAGTCAGTAAAGTGCAGCACTCACTAGGGAGAAAGTCAAACTGAATCGAACATCATTTGAAGTGAAGCAACAACTCATCAGGCATGGTTCCGTTTCCGAATATCTCACTTGTCCCTGATCCACTGCAGGTCACTCTGAAGGAGAAAACCTCCCATGTAGGAGTAACTGTGCTAATGTATAGTCAACCAAGGAAAGTTAAGCAGGCTAAAGAACATGAGATGAATACCTCTAGTCGATCGTATCAAATGTTTTCAAAACATTCGAAAAATAAAACTGAACAATCACCAACAAGGTACAGCACTGATACGTGGCCCATCTCTCCAAAGGAGGACAGACTTTAAGTGAGACACGCGTTCCTCTGAGCAGTTGTTACTCAGGGAACTAACGGACACCAAATACGGTGACATATTCTAGGACCTCATGAAATCGACCACAGTACTACGCAACCGCGGTATTACTCACTCCCATTCACTTATCTGAAGGAATTTAGGCTGTTATTACGAAATCCACGCAGTTTAATTGGAGACTTTATTAGGATTTCGAATGTAGTTACTTGGAAATTGAATCTGGTTTATTCATAGTGAGAACGTTCCACTGTGTCTGTTTCTACTTCGGAGTTAACAGTTTTAATGGATTAACGCGACAACAAGTTTACGCTTCTCGGTGTGGTCTTCGTTTGCCACACAATTAACAAAAAATACAAGAAAATTTTGACTTGACCGAAGTATAAAATTGTATAACAGTGTTTTACTACACTTTACTGGGCTTTGTTCACTTAGTGAATCCCATAGGCTCCAGAAAATACTCAGAAACCCATTCACGAAAAATGCAATCAGTCAATGGTCTTTTTATCATTTACTTGCTGAAAAACAAACGAAGCAATTGTTTATAAATGGCTGAAGACATCGCCCACAGTCAGTCCGAATGGTTTGTATCTTTCCGACGTCCAGTGAAGTGAAACGTCTTTGTTTTTGAGTTTTGCGTTGACAATAAGAGACATGGGGTTTTGATTAGCACTCTGTAGACCCATTCTTTACTTATTTCCCATAAAATACTCAACCTTAGTATGCATGTATTCATACCTCCGATTGTGTATATGGTTGCACTGCAAGCCACTAATGGCCTTAGGCGTGGCACGGTCGTTATCTGAAACCTTCTATCAGTAGGTTGTTTGTCCAGACAGGGCAAGCTACAATGCCTCGTACACCAGAATAATACGACAAATTTGATGTACTGATGTGAGTGTAAGTGTTAGTGCAAAGATACTCATCTACGTCTATGATCTTGTTGTTCCAATTCATGATGGTCAAGTAAACAAAATCGGGACCAGGAAAACTCTGAGCTGACATATGTAGGGTTTTTATATGCGGCAAACTGAGAATCTCGGCAAACAAGGAATAGAATACGAGCAGTATGAGGAGTTTAGTTAGGGGCCTCCCATTTCCTTGATCCGCTTTGGGGTTGTAGTCATACGGGCACACCCATGTCTGGAAGACTAGGAACGTATCTGGTGCGCCCATGTTTTATCAGTAAGAAAACCACCAACAGGTAGCAGGCACTCTGATAATATTGTCAGGCACGCTCACATCATCACTACGCAGACATTTGCTGCCAACAATACAGCGTCCACAATGGATGGTTTCGCTTCTCCTTGGGGTCAAGGCCTTTTACGAAACTTTACTCCTAACACAGGGCCCATGGGATCAGTGACTACAAAGGCCCTGGACCTATGAGTTATTTTATTTGTTTTCCATACGTATTTTCAGACCCTTGGAAGAGCGTCATTCATCTAACAGTGTTGGTGTTCACTGAAACGTCGAATTACGATGGCAACTTTGAATTCCTTGTTCTTTTTTATTTAAGCGATCGTTTTTGTCTGAAAGCCGAGCAGTTTATCCATCAAACCAATACTTTGTTTGTCAATATTTACAAACAAGCTGTCGAGGATTTGTACGCAATTTATCGTCATAAGCAAAAGTCCACTTACAACTTGTTCTACACTAATGCGAGGTGCCACGTTCGGTATACAAGCAGGATTACCCTTTGGCATTTATTGTGCCTAACGGATAAGAGGTTGTCGCGCACATTTTTAGCAAGAATTCACCATGAGCCAAAGACCCCTGATTAGGACAGATGGTCCTATACAGGTAAAAAGAAGCCAAGTTGGAAGAAAGTTGTTTCATTTGTTAAAAATAGGGCATCCGGGGCGTAGTGGTCCAGAACCATTTCCTTTTTGCAATCAGAAATTGTTCTGCCGTACCCTAGTTCATTGCTGTGCAGCAGAGTTTCAAGCGGTGTTCAACGATTCGCGAGAATGGCCGCTGGTATCCATCCAGGCAGCATCCCAAACTGATTTTAACACGCATGTCAAATAGTATATAGTGCCTTTCGGTGATTGATTACTGTTAGGTGCTCAAAACCATAATTGTGATTCTGGCCTGGTGGTTTCAATACTTTTACTACCTTGCTGGAAACATTATAAAGAAGTGTTCTGCTGGTTATCTTCGGATCCTCTTTGTGCGATCACCCAATTTGTTACTGTCCGGTGCTCTCTCGTGACCACTATATTTAGTTCCGTTTGACGTGTTGACTTAACATTGTATTCAGACGCCATTTCCGTGAACCACTAGGCTATCTTGTCATCTACACCACCTATTAAAAGACACAACTTGTGTTTTTGCACTTCGCTGATTTTCGCTTCCGCAGCTTTCATTTTCGCTTATTTCCACATTTTTTCCTATTTATGCTACTCTGAACAGAACTGGACGATTATTTCGGTGTTTTTACAAACATGATACCGGATACGTGAAAATGAGTAAAGAAACCAAAGAACTGAAAAGGTGCCATTGGTTTACTTGAAAAGCCACGCTGTGACGCACTACATGAATGGACTAAAATAAAACAAAAATTGGATGTCTTGAACATCCCAAAGAAACATTACAGGTACAAAACAAAAATGACAATTGAGTGCAGTGCAGATAAGCTTGCAAGAAGGGTAAAGTTAGTGAAAATAGGAGTTGACTGTTTTTCTCCGTGAGTGGTACGTGCACGACAGTCAAGCATCAATGTCACCACTGATGTAGCTGTCTTTGATGATGATGATAATGATGATGATGATGATGATGATGATGATGATGATAATGATGGTACGCACACGAAGGTAACTTAAACTGTGGTGCCAAACAAAACGCAACCTACTAATCAACGAGCTTGCTATTTGTCAGCCCATGCAAATACAGGATTAACAGTTGAAACGGAAACTTAGACAAACTTGACTTTGCTGTATTTGCTAATGATCCGCCGAAAAGATTTGTATATAACTCATACGGTATATGTGGCATCTGACTCTTCTGGGAAACACTCCAACAGTTCGACACTGATTCATTCGGTAGAGGTACTGGCCTAAGCATTGTTCCATACTAGATCGGGATAACAGGTAGAGTAGAAAAGTACGGTTTTTCCATAAAATAACGCTTTAATCAACGTCAAATGCCCGGTGGGCCTTCGATGAACACTGCAAGCGAGGGATGAACAAGGATGTTGCATTGTCGCTTTTCTAAACTGCCGTATATGAATAACTTACTGCATATCATAATGTAAGCGGGGCATCCGAATTTTGCTGTGGCGCCGCTCAAGATGTCGTCCACCTCTTACCTAAGGATCTTCCTTCTAAGCTCCCAAAAACCGTTTTTTCTTATGCTAAACCATACAACCAAACCTAGTGCAGCAAGTGATTCTATTAGAAGGTGAATCCTAGAACTGCATTAGAACAACCTCTTACAACCGTGGACCATTGCTCGTTCAGGGTTTTCGCTTTTTTCCCATGCCTGAATCATTTTTACCGCAGGTTGATTTGGTCGAATGCCTGCGATGGTATGAGCTAGAAATATCGGAAATTGTTGTGATGTACTACTAACCGTAGTATGTGTTAGTAAACTGTCATTCGAAATGAATGTTTTGCTTGACTTGGAAAGTACAACAAGGGCGTTAAAACGATTAGATGTGAAAAAATGCTTCCCTAGGAGAACCACTTTATGTGAGGGATAACAACAATGTACAACGATTCACTTATATTTCATTATCTTCTTCGAAAGAATGAGTGATGGCTACATCGAGTTTATTAATTTTTGCACTTTATTGTGACAAGCGCAACGCCCGGGTGAGCTCTCAAGACAAGGTGGGACATGAAACACCGAAAGTTAAACGCACATCTCAAGACGTACATATCCGTGCTAGCATTTTTATTACCGTCTAAAGTACACACGTTACTTAACCGAAGAAGTTGGGGCGTTTCTCAATGTTTACTGTGCACCAGTCAGATTGATCCAAGTCAATTAACCGACGACGTACGATGCACTCTTACTTCGTTTTATTCAACGAAGGTAGTGACATGCGGCCGAGCTCGATTTTACGTATATAAATGGTGCGTCTCTGTTAAGGAGACAACAATATGAAAAAGTGAAGCAATGTACGGAGTTCTGGTCGAGGGTCTGAAACAATATCTGACCAAAGCATTTAGCGAGGAACTCTGGTGGAGCGCAATCCTTCATGTTACTGGAAAACGGAAAGTGATACAAACACGGCAGATTTACCCGGAATCTTTGTTACCGCGACTCGTTTCATACGTATCTGAAATCACTGATTTATCAGAAGATGATATATTTTTTGAATACGGTTGTTTCTTCACGCACTACCTCACCGATTCAGGATATTACAGTTTACTTCGAGTTATTGGCGAGGGATTCCCACAGTTCATGAATGAGCTAGACGACTTGCATTATCATTTGCAGTTCAGTTATCCTCGGATAAAACCGCCTTCTTTCGTTGTTGCAGAAATGACAGACACCCCCTTGTTTTTTGTCTATGTGAGCAACGTAACTCTNTCCGGGGTCAGCTGACCGCAATTGCAGCCTTACTGTACGACCTTGATGTTGAGGTGGAAATAACTGACTGTGTGAAAGAGCTAACTACGCACAAATATATATACCGGATCACAAACAAAGGGGGAGAATGGCCAAAAGGAAAGTGCAAAGATATAGACAAAACGCAGCATGATTCGAGTGCGTCTTTGCATATCTGCAGCCAGCCTTTCTTCCGGCTCTTTCGATTTCACTTGTTATTCACAGAGAATCTATACATTACAAGTGTTGGAGAAGGTTACAACCAATTTGGAGCAGTTGTTGTCGAAAAATTACTCACGGATATTTTTTTTCTGCATCGTCCTAAGATTGATCTAACCTTCTCGGAGGTAAGGTATGCGCCGAATTTTTTGACAACTTTTACTCTATTTCCATACCTTTGATCCTCTGATTACGTTGTTGTTAAGGTCACAAAACATAAATATGGGGTACTGTTTGAATTGTGACTTGAAAATCTTGTCTGCACTTCAGCGTGAAGTGTAATTTTTTGCCTAAACACACTCCGCTTCAGATTCAGACATGTGAACCGTGTTGAGTTAAACACTGACACACTATTACTTAGTAGACTTGCTGTTCAATGCCAGCTAGGTCCAAGGTGAGTTCACGATCCTTTATCTTGTCAGTAAGATAAAACGGTTCATGAGTGAGTACTGGTCAGTGAGTCAGATTCGCTTGAGCCGTGGCTAATGCTTGTCTGGTTAGTGTTGTTGGAGCGTTTAGTATGTTAAACCACCGACCGTCGAAGGACAGTCGTGTTTTTCACTCCAAACTCTTGTTTACCAGAAGTTTATAGAGGACAAGCCATAACTTGACAAGCGAACTGTAAGCGAATGCTCCGGCCTTGAGTGCTAAGAGATATGAACGTTGGTGTCCATGTGATTCTTCTTGTGCGTCGTTGAAGACAATGTGGAACATTACAGACGGCCCAGCTCAATGGCAAGCTTGCCGCTACCTGTCCAGAATGACTAGTTGAAGCGCGCCCGTTTGTATTGTGTAAGGTCCGCAACGAAAGTTAGGTCACGCTTCAGTGTGATACTCAGATATGTTTGGAAAGTGTGCATGCCTTGCTCTTGGACTTTTTTCTAGCAACACAAGGCCATTTACAATTAGTCCCTATCCCTCTCATACTTTTTTTCCTTCACTAGGGCCTTCTTTTTCTATGGTTGCATTACAGTTCCTACCACTGATGTACTGCCGTTCTAATGATCACCACTCAAAGAACATTTTCGTAACATATCAGAAGCAATGAAAAATACCCACTCGAATGGACCCTCGAAATTGCACAAGAGTAATGAAAAGGTTCAACCTGTTTATTTCTGTATTGTGTCGGAACAACGAAAGTAGTAGTACTCATAATAACAAAATTAGTAAGCAAAACCTTTGGGAGTCTTTACAGAGTGGAGGAATTAATCGTAGTTGTAATTATATTGCAACCACAATGTATTCCTTATGCCTATTTCCAGGATCGCGCTTGTCCGAATCGTTCGCAGATTTATCAACAAAAATGTTTTCAGGCAGTTTATCAGTGGAAAATGTATTTACTACGCAGTTAAACACTAAAAACAATATGAGAAGTCAACCAGGCTTTGAAAAGAGTGGAATTTCCCTCGGTATAATTCATTTTGTAACTGATTTTTGGCCCTGCATGACAGCCTATATTCTACTTTTTATTCCTCAATCAGATAAAACTACATCGCCACAACACTTTTGAATTGGTCCTCGTCTCGGATGTAAATCTTCAAAGTGAGTGTCTCACTTCAACTTATGACTGTTTTCCATCAATGCTCATGATTTGATATTTTAGCATACCTTTATCTCCCAACCGTTTGACAAAATGGATCACCGCAAGTTCTTGTATGTACGAAAAACATATTCTTCCATATGGTTCCCAGCACGTAGGCACCAGAACAATGGGAAGAAAGTCGTTCCTACACACATTCGTTGTCACACAATTTGGTCCTGATATAAGCTTAATTGTGGTACAAGCATCAAGTGATTGTGCCGCATACATAAACGCAGAAAGCTGTCTATGAAACAGTGTATATTTTAAACCAGGTGACCACAATTCGGTACAGCCGTGAACTGCGCAATTTCTTCTCTTTATTCACGGAGAATCAGTCAATTTTATGGTCTTTTCAATAGCTTATCAAATGGGAATATCTGAATTATGTAGATTAACTCGAACCTTCCGCAAACTTACCACATGCGTCATGAATGTAACCAGCTTTCGATGGTGCTGACTCCCACGAATGGCTAGTGCTTTCAGGTACACCATCGGCTGTTAACCACAAGGTTAACAGTTCGTATATATAACAAGAAGAACACTCCTCTTCGATGTAAAAGTAGTCCGAATTATCATTAATAATAATAGTGTATATGTCACAAATTAATTGTGATTCACAACAGCAACTTGAAATCCTTCAGTTGATGACCACAATGGATGAACGTAAACAAAAAAACACAGCTTTGAACGAAACCTTTCTGATGGGCATTCAGATATAAATTACAATACACTTCAAATAAACAGCGCCTCTTCTGCATGGTCACTGTAGTCCTTGGAACTCATCAATCCATCTAAAAAGAAGAAACGTCAAAAGTTTTTACGAACTGGGGTACCACGAAACAAGCTTCACCGTAGGGGTCCAAAGTAATTTTTTGCTCGTTGGGTAAGGCAGAATTTGGAGGTTTCTCATGAGTTGTGTATTTCATAGAATGCACAACATCGGTTTATCTTCTGAGTATGATCTATGCCGCCCGATGTTTCCTAATGTTTTTTCTCTCCATAACTGTAGAATTTTTTGAGACAACAGCAACTCTTATGATAGATACCTGGTGATAACTTTATTGCATTTCTCATGAACCAAAGTCACTTGGCTGCATCAAAGAGCTTTCAAAGAATGTAAAAAACTCTTCCTTGCTGCAGAAAATGCTGGACGTGGTGTTTCACTTTCACAAGCTGCGTGCAAATTCAAAGGACAGATGTGTTATATTGAAGAATGGAATATGATATTGTTTCTTGGAACACCTGTGTAAGTGGTTGGTACTTTCAGTTTAAATAGGTGACCATTTAGGCTGACAATTTATTCCTGCTAGCCCGGAGTCTGAAATTTTTAGGCTTATGCTGACTATCTCTGCAGGTTTTGCTTGCAATAACTGATGCTTTAATAGCGTTATTTGTAAAACGTGTGCATTTGTTTCATGATACAAGCCTGTTTCGAAAGTTCACATTATGCTTTTTCTCAAAGAGGAAAATTGACAATTCCTTCTTGGATAACCCCTCAGACTGCATCTCGCTTGGGATGAAGTGCATTTTGATTGTTTATGGCACAAGGTACGTGATGCTAAGAGTCCATTGAGGCTATTAGTTGTCATGGAAATAGTTATAAATTTTTCTACTGCTCTAAAATATGTATCCTTCTGAAACCGCTATTAGGATTTCGTTCACGAACTAGCAGTCTGGAGGATATTAAACTAAAAATATATATTTATTGCGTCATTTGGCGTTTTTTTTAAATCCTTGGTTTACCCCGGATAAATATCCATTCATTTAAATACTTAAATATCTGGATTGCATATAATCACACCGGCATAATGCCAGAGAATGATGTCCTCATCACGACATTTTGATATTTTTTAGAGCACATCACCCTTCCTGTAACGAGGAACTAAGGCGACAAAATACTATATTCGCTGGATAAATTGTGTGATTTGGTCATCAGTTGGTTCACTTATCAAACACTGGTAAATATTGACCAATATGTTTGACAACAGTGATGTTTCATCGACTGACTGATTGTGATTAAACGGTTTCTTTTCAGAAATTTTGGGGGATCGTGTGACTGCTATCGAATAAAATTATCGTAGAATTTCAATAAACAACGTGCTATCTGCATGTTACCAAGATAGGATATAGGATCCTGTTCTTGTTGCTGAGGAATTTTCAGACGGAGTCTTTCAGCATTCAAATAAGTAGCACATTTTCTGTGTGCTACTCAGCAGAGGCTCGAACATCAGCTAGGTTTTCTGACAACTCAGGACCAAACAGGTGACAAACAGTCCAGCAACTAGTTGGATTAACTTAACTACCAAAGTTACATACACAAATAATCAAGTTACTTTTAATATTCAGCTGTTGTGTCAAGTAACGTGGCTTCGTTCTTATTATGCTTCCATCATCGGGCTGCTTTCATTGAAAATCAAGGAGATCATCATCATCATCCTCATCATCATCATCATCAAAGACAGCAGCATCAGTGTTTGCACTGATGCTTTACTATCGTGCAAGATCATAACCTGTTAGTCATTCGGAAACCTCTCTTGGTTTAGGCTAGATGAGATTCAACATGAAAATCCCTGGACAAATGTAATTCCGTACTGCATGAACAATTGTTGGGAAGTTTTAATGTTAACCAGGAACCCAAGAACGGATACCTCGGACAACTTGGGTGGTACTCAAACCCAATAATTTTTGCTTGCGAACAAGAAGTCTGTCATTGGGACTGCTACCACGATGCTGCACATCACCTGGGACATCTGAATCCAACAGCAATACTCTTTCAGCATCTGGCTTTTTGTTCGGCCCAAGGGTCTTTGGGCTCCTACTCAGTAATTTTAGAATTTATTCACTAACGCAACTGCTGGCCTCATTTCATCTGCTGAATGGTGAAATCCCCTCCAATTTTTCACTCGGTGAGTGGCCAGTATCTCTGAATTTCTGCAACCGAATGAAATGAGAGTACTACCAGAGTTTCTGCAGAAGGGATAAATGAATAAGAGTCACATTGGAAAATACATATCTCTAATGACCCATACCACGTAAACAGCATCTTACAGTGCAAAACAGCTTTTAGACCGACCTAATTTCACTCGGGGGCGAAAATTTGGTCTTCTTGGCCCCGAAGAATCATAAAGCTCTTGCCAGCGTACACAGAGCTTCATTCCATTTTTTAGCTATTGGTTTATTTCGCTGACCGCGTTCTGACGGTTTCTGATTAACTAAACGAGTGGGGCACACCAATCACATCGCTCAAGTGTGAACACTTTCGCCTGTTCAGACGTGATAATTCAGATGCGTCCAACTTGTGTTGGTTCAGTAGTGGTTACACGCTCGCCTCGCATGTCAGGTGTTCGGAGTTCAAATCCCGGCACGGCCATTGGATACGCACTGCTGATGAGCTCTAATAAGAGCGAACTCGAGTCCAGTGCTTCCCTTTGGTGTGGACTCACCGGAATAATTACGCCAGAACAGGAACACGGTCGTTCAAACGAGAGTGGTGTGGCTATGAATAAACGTAGACGGTTTAACTGATTACATCTGATTTTGTCGTTTGGAAAAAGACTTCACTCTGGTGGGTCTGCATCACATTTACTGCTGAGCGCTGTCTTCGAACCAGACTGGTTTATCTGCGTGGGAGTACAGTAGCCGATACTTCATTTCTGCTCATGAGTTCTGTTCATAGTGCCCATTCCTGCAAAATAGGGTCCTATAATGGGACTGACCAAAGGTTTGATTGTGTGGAATCAAGTATTCAACGTTCGAAGGAGTCCGTCATGTGCATTGGGTTGGGCATGTTTGCATTTCGGAGTACTTTCTCTCTGAATTAGAAGCAACTCAACAATAGAGATGGTATTTGGGGTGCTGCTGGACACAGAGCGTCTGATTTCAAGGATTATCCAAGTGATTCTAGTAGGTACTGTTGGGCATATTCCATGGTCTTGGAGTGCTTCTGTCGTTCTTTTTTTCATTGACGATCTCAACTGCTCACAACACTTTCAGTTGGTAACTATTACGTTAAGGACATACTCCCCAGTATAAGTAAATTCCCCATACATAGAGGGCCAGAGACGTATTCGCTTTCCAGATCTTAACGATCATACGAACAGTCGACTACCATGGGCTTAAAGGTCATGCCAAAATAACTCATACGTAGCCTAGAGCGGATACTCAGGAAAAAAAATACGAAGCTCAGTTTGGTTCTTATGGCGCTTTAACATTTCTGTGGCTCATACTCACAAGCATTGTGTTAAATTAGCATTGTCCAACGCCGGCTTTTCGACTTACCTGAGCAGCTAGCATTTATTTTCTCCTTTAACGCAATCTTTCTTTCGACGCCAATCAACCCTGTTCTCGGAGCTGATCAGAGCGACTGGATATGTTTCTTATGCTGCATTCAAACGATGTTGACCATGCCTGAAAGAATTTAGTGACTAGATCAGCTTACAGCATATCATATTTGCATAGAATGATCTTCATCCAAGCATGCTCTATTCCGAAGAAGTTCGTTAGTAATAAATTTGAAAACAATGGAACTGGCCTACTGGTGGGAGTGTTACCTTACCACAGGATTCGTTCTAAGGACCTCAAATTTCAAGCCACTTCAGTGCTAGGCAAATCAACGTTAAGAATAATGTGATGACTCTAAAAACATTGGAGCATCGACAATATTATAGGCTTGTTCCAATTCATAGCTTTCAAAATGAAAGTTAAGCCACCACATTTGTGCACAGATTTCGTGCGGTGAGGTTACTTCTTGGTTTGCAGGGTTGAGTTCGGAAGTGCAAAAACATTCTACTCATTTCGAATTGCTGTATGCGTTGGCGACTTTGAGAGGTAATGTCATCACTTCTACACAAAGTACTCTATTTACCATCCTTAAAATGCAAATATTTACCTGACTATTTGTTACAGACTGAGGGACACAAAGCAGCTGGCCGATTGTGGTCTTTACATCAGTGACCTTAACTTGTTCGATCGAAGTCGTGACATAATCCTGAGCGGCGATCAGCAATCCGATGAACTGATGAAGCTTTTCAAGAAGGTATGATCATTATTTTGTCGGTCACTTGTGCATCAGACAGAACTGTAACAAAGCTTCATCAAACTTAGTTCAGAGAACCACGACCAGACCAATAGCTATTGTCCGAGCCACGCGATCGAACGATCCTTATGAGGTATCATATGAAACTACAATAGCCTGAATAACTAACATAATGTACTAGCCCTTCTGGTAAGAGTGGGCTTGAAGTAAACTCTCCTTGTTGTTACAATTAGTTAGCCGGGAAAATACTATTAAAAAGGCTTCAGTCAACGATGATCTCCTCTGGATATTGGATTCTACTGTAAGTCTCCTTCCAAGAGGCTCAACTGCACTTACGTCAATTCAAACTCAGAATCTTGTGAAGAGTTTTCAGTTACTGGATTAATTGTCTCTTCAGGGGGATATATTTGTGAATGCTGAGAACCCGAGCCTCCAAAGACAGGATTATTCATCCAATAGAACTGGACGGTGATTAGCCTGTTGCACGTGCTACTACAAGGTGCTCCACCGAAGTTGCGGGTCATTTAATCTACCTGACACTATTTGCTCTTGTGGTTCGTTTAGTTGATTGGCAAACACAAACAACAGCGTTGAGGACGAAGAAAATTTTGCTTGGCATTATGGGCTTTGAACAGCCAAAATGCGCAAAATTTCTTGTTTCTTTTGGCACAACAACCACATGGGCTTTGATATGCTATCTTTTCTGTTCAGTATCTGGTTTGACTTACACATAAACGAGGAATAATGAAAAATCGAAATGTTCAGTAAGTTACTGGTGGAAATTTCCAGACTATTTTATTGTACACAGTTTCTGTTTAACCATCTGTTGGCTTCAGAACTTTTCGCAACATCGTGTAACTTTTTCTTCAACATGTGATTACAGCAATCGACCGTCCCCTCGATCGATTCCCCTAAGAGCTTGATAACACAAAGTGGAATAGGAATTTTCTGATTGTAGTTCTTACGTTAGATGACAATCAACCTTCTTATGCTTACTTAACTGGGTTTGTTTCATTTAGGCTGCCAAACGTAGTGATGCTGTCATATTCTTCCTCTATAGTATTAAATAGCGCTCCGTAGTGGCTGAGTTTACAACAAGTAATTGCCTTCACGTTTTTCCTAATTTCTTTGTAGCAACTGGAAGAAAGTAAACAGCTAGAGAAGAGCATGAAACGCGTGGAGAAAATGCGCAAGATAACAGACGAACTGCTGTATCAATGCATTCCCAAAGGTGTTGCCCAAAAGCTGCGAAGTGGCACACCTGCGCTTGAAACAATTCAGGTTCGTCAGGCCAGTAGTTAGTGAATGCGATCACAAGGGTTGCCTCATGATTTAAAGTAATTGCATCCCGGTTTCAGCCATATTTTCCGCACGTTATTTAAATTAATAAACTCTGACCTGGATGTTAGGTTTCGACACTTCTGTCTATTTAATATATACTGAGTCGATTCCAAAACAAATTCCATCTACCCCAAAAATTCTGAAGTACCAACTACCTTCATACGCTGAGGAATGACAAGTAAAAGAGTTTTATCCGGATCTAGAGATACACTGGTGTATCCACAAAATGAGGTAGTTGAGTGAGCCCACATGTTCATGCAAGTGAAAATGAGATATGAATTTCGAAAAGGCATACAGTAACATGGGGTTGGAGTAATGTGGAATAACTGATACGCTATAGGTTGTGATAGCTGCATGCATATAAACACCAAATCTTTTTTCCTCAAAAGTTAGCATTAATTAAACTGTGCGCCGAAATTTTTCAGCTATTTCTAGTATTGTTGCTTATCAGTTGATAAGCGCTTTGGCCTTCCCAAAGAGGTCTACACTAGTTACAAACCACGAGTAATCGGCCAACAAATGAACGAAGGTTCCTATAAGACAAGGATGATCTTCATGGGTGCAGTGGACACCTGTGGTACGCAGAACAGTTTCCTAGGTTTTAACAGACTCGAGTTGACAGACTAATTCAGTTGGTGCGACAGGTATCTGTAAAAAGTTGTCCACGAACTGATTTGCTGATAGAGATCTTTCTGCTCAGTTAGGTCACAAGGGGTTCTATGTAGTGCGGAAACAAGCAACATAAATCCGGTGGAGACCATATTCGTCTCATAATTCGCAAGCTTCGAGTTACTCAATGTATTTGTTATCACTTCTTTTAGACGTTTGAATCCGTTAGCGTGTGTTTCACGAAAGTGGTGAACTTTGGAGCCAAATGCATGCAAATCAGTGTGGAGGAGGTGATCCAATTATTGAACAATATGTACACGATATTCGATGCACTGACAGAATCACACAAAGTCTACAAGGTGGGTAAACGGACACTGTTTTATTAGGCATGAGAAATCTTTAAAACATAATTATTCCAAAGTTGATTTTTCTTCAGTGCAACGAGTTGTTGACGAACCTTATCTTCACATCCAGTAGGGTTTGTATCCAATCAAACTAAGCAACTAAAAAAAAATTTTTTGGTACTGTCTACCACTCTGCTTTTTCAGGAATTCTCCTGTTCTTTATATACATACAAATTCCATACTTCGCTGAGAAGCTTCAAATTTAACTTCCAAATTCCGTTCCTCATTTGAGGCACAAAATATTGTCGAATCCACTTCGAATGTCCGAAAAATCAAGTGAGGCTGTCTTGAACACTCAGAGCTAAGAAAGACATAGATGTTCACACAAGCCTGTTGGCTCCAAAAGTCTAATCCACCGTACCGACATTTTGGAAAATAAATACATTATTACAAGAAACCACGGCTGACCGCCCGCCTCCCCGTCACCGGCTCATTTAACCAGTCACTCACTTGCTCGCCCACTGATTCATTCCTCTACTCACTCACTCAGTCGACCACTCAGCCAATCAAAGAGTCAAAAATCAGTCAAGTCATCAATCAAACAACCAACCAATTCCATCGACCTATCCATTCTATGTAACTATTTTTTTATCTATCCATCTCTCAATTTATTTATCTATCTATCTATCTATCTATCTATCTATCTATCTATCTATCTATCTATCTATCTATCTATCTATCTATCTATCTATCTATCTATCTATCTATCTATCTATCTATCTATCTATCTATCTATCTATCTATCTATCTATCTATCTATCTATCTATCTATCTATCTATCTATCTATCTATCTATCTATCTATCTATCTATCTATCTATCTATCTATCTATCTATCTATCTATCTATCTATCTATCTATCTATCTATCTATCTATCTATCTATCTATCTATCTATCTATCTATCTATCTATCTATCTATCTATCTATCTATCTATCTATCTATCTATCTATCTATCTATCTATCTATCTATCTATCTATCTATCTATCTATCTATCTATCTATCTATCTATCTATCTATCTATCTATCTATCTATCTATCTATCTATCTATCTATCTATCTATCTATCTATCTATCTATCTATCTATCTATCTATCTATCTATCTATCTATCTATCTATCTATCTATCTATCTATCTATCTATCTATCTATCTATCTATCTATCTATCTATCTATCTATCTATCTATCTATCTATCTATCTATCTATCTATCTATCTATCTATCTATCTATCTATCTATCTATCTATCTATCTATCTATCTATCTATCTATCTATCTATCTATCTATCTATCTATCTATCTATCTATCTATCTATCTATCTATCTATCTATCTATCTATCTATCTATCTATCTATCTATCTATCTATCTATCTATCTATCTATCTATCTATCTATCTATCTATCTATCTATCTATCTATCTATCTATCTATCTATCTATCTATCTATCTATCTATCTATCTATCTATCTATCTATCTATCTATCTATCTATCTATCTATCTATCTATCTATCTATCTATCTTCTATCTAATCTATCTATCTATCTATCTATCTATCTATCTATCTATCTATCTATCTATCTATCTATCTATCTATCTATCTATCTATCTTCTATCTATCTATCTATCTATCTATCTATCTATCTACTCATCTATCCATCTGTGAGCGAAACCGCCATCAACCTTTGCTGTATTTCGCGTGATGTCATACTCGGTATATTTCATCTTGCTAGTATTGCTCTTATCTCCATATTGATTCCTGTTTGAGAGACCATTGATTTAATTCACTGCTGATACAGGTTTACTCTCCAGCAATCCAGTATGTTCCTGTTTTGGTCCCGCGTAGCTTTAGAACAGAGAAAGCACGTTACATTTCATGCTAGCCATTCATTCGCACAAGATGGGTAGCTCCTTGTATGTTCTCTGCTGTACGTGGGCTCGATTGCAACTGCTCCAAGCTAAATTGTGGCCGTTCGTTTCAGCGTAAATTTTGATGAATGATGGTCGAGAAACGTACACAAGGGTCTTCTCCAGCGTTTTTTATGTCAATGATACTGAGATCACAAGATTGATTACAGCGATTACGGTGATCATTGCTTCAGGAGCATATGACAGTTGAACACTTCTTTGAGAATGTCAGGTCATAGTTATGCCCATGTTAAAAAATTAAGCTTTAATGCATGTTTCACGAAAGATAAATAAAGTTTGCAAACTATAAAGGTATATTTTAACGTTGTGCCTAGACACCGGGGGATGCGAAATTGCTACTGAGATATCAGACCGGTGCAAGGGCTTTTCATCCAGTTTTATAGGTCATGAAGGATGAAGAGGAATCCTCTCTTCTTACAGGGTTTTTCTTCGTTGTTAATAATTTTTGATGGCGTGGCTACTCTTTGTAATCAATACAAAGTACTCCCCACGCCCTCAGGACCCTGTATAGCCACTTCTTCACAAGCTCCCAGTAAGATCTTCCCTATGCCACACAAACAGCTGGACGAGTCTCAAGTTTCAAATATAAACCTGTATTCTTTAAAGGTGTACTTTAGAGGGTTCAAGAAAGATAATAACGACAATGTAGTGTTTGTCTTTTTTTCGCGCATATAATTAAGGTGTAAAAATGGAATTTACGGAATTCACTAACGCCCCTCATTAGTGATTTCTTATCGGTAGCACTTACTAATCTCCAAACTTGGAATTCCTTCGCGCAGTAAACTAACTAGTTTTCTCTCCGTTTTAGGTGGAAACCGTTGGGGATAGCTACATGTTGGTTTCAGGTGCACCTCAGCGAACACCAATGCATGCAGCGCATATTACTGAAATGGCGATGGAAATGATTGTCGCTACACAGCATGGCTTATCCTGGCCTCAAACAGCTCAAAAGAGTGCAAATGAAAGAAGACATAGTTTGACCGAACACGTACAGTTGTTCGTGGGATGCAATACCGGTCCTATCGTTGCTGGTGTGGTTGGCTACAAAACACCCCGCTACTGTCTGTTTGGTGATACAGTGAATACAGCCAGTCGAATGATGAGCACGGGTGTGGTAAGTCCCACTGTGTGGATTATTCTAATAAGTTTGACTGCCAATATATTCAATAAAAAGACTAGCAGATGTATCCAGTTTTAGTAAGTGCAACGCTGTTCCCTTTGTGGCCGCGTTGACGATGTCTCAGAATCTTGTAACAACGTCTCTTTATCGTGTGTGTCCAGCAATAAACTATTCTGTGCAATTGGCTGCGGTTTAAAAGAAGTTATAAGCTTTATACAAGGTTCTGCGTTGATTACAAATGGAGACGTCGCAGGGACTTATAAATTTCAGTGTGCAAGCCGCTATGAAAAGTTGACCACTGCTTTCAGATAAGATGGATTTTGATTTGTCTAGCGATCGTGGCATTTAGTTTCTTACACGTTTGCTCTCTGCAAAGCCACTGGAGTTAAAAATGGATGTGTTAATCTCTACTGAGTAGTTGGGCACAAACCACAGCACTTAGAGATATTTTTGTCCTTTCAATGAATACTGTTTGATCATGCGTGTTTTCAGTAGACAGATGATGACGTGAACTCATCCCCATAGGGGCTCGAAAAACCACATTCCCTGTATCAATTCTTGCTTCATGAACAGCGAAGTCCTTGACGACGTGTTTCATCTTTATTCGTAATTTCCGTTCCAGCCTGACAAGATTCATGTGAGCAATTCATTTGCTGAAGCACTATCTAAATACCCTTATATCGTGGAGCTACGTGGGAAAACCGTGGTTAAGGTGAGGTTATTTTCTCTGCCTTTCATAGCTACGATACGAACATACTTTCGTTACGATTTTGTTCTGTTGAACGACGTTTCCTGTATCGATCCCTCAGTTACAGTTAACCTGTGGCAATGTTCCACCATCGAGGCGCCAGTTCAGTCTACTTACCTTAATGCCGTTGCCTTTCAGTATGAGCAGGTTGGCTTAGAACTTTGTGGTGTAGTACGAGGAAACACAACACACTGTGTTGATTAGTCTGTCAATGACTGGTACATTTGCTGATGAACTTAGCTTATTCTGCTTGGCTGTTTAGGAGAAGGATATCGAACTGAAGGAGCCGGTAGTGTACGGAACGATGTACCCAGCTCTAAAACAGGAAATGAAGAATGGCTCGGACACATGCTTGGTTTATGAGTTGCATTTTGAAGTAGACCATGTCTTTAGCTGGATCGTCCGGTGCATTTCGCAAAGCCATAAATTTACACGTGGAGTGATAAACCACTGTCGCCGTGTATCATGTTTTGGATGTGTGGACTGCCGTCATTGAAACATGGATACATGTTAGTTGAAAGGGATGGTTTCCCAAATCAAGTACTAAAAAACCCGATATCTGTATTCAGAAAGGAGGTCCATAGTGAATGTGGCATTCACAGTAGAATGGTTTTTAACCCTCTCGTGACGCGATTATTTGAGCCGTTTTTCATCAGTCGCTTCACAATAGCATATGAAGTATTGGCGCAAGTGTGGATTTTAGCCTCGCAAAGTTGCACTGACTACTTTTCATGCTCTTTCGGGTGCTAGAAAGGCGGTTCACTCACAGGCAACTGAAAAATCACGATGTTTTATCGTTTTCTGGGCGGACTGGATTCTGCTGGCTAGTCCGTTCTTCTTGACTCACATTGCTCCCTGTGTAAGAAATAGTCTTTAAGTTGTTGGATTTGTGCGTGTGGGACTGTATGCAGAGCCCCTTAAGAGCTTTCTTATGAAAGGCGGTTTTCAATGATGAATTTCTAACAGACGTAATAATAAGGTCAACGCTGAACGGTCTTAGAAAATCCGGCGTTTGAATGGATGTTGAAGAAAACCCAGTTGACTTCAAGGAGGAAAGGAAGGCGAAAGTGCCCCTGAATGGGTTGACCTAAATCCTTTCTTCTTGGGTTTAAAAGGAACCTACGAGGTTCTCGAACGTTGGAAGTTGTGTGAACTTCGGCTGTAATGTGACAGTTGGGATGAACGCGCAAATCCGAAAGGATGGAATCACGTTAACTTACTTGGAACACCTATCGCAATAAAGTGGCATACTTTTGAATCCCAAAGGATGTGCATGCCAGGTTGCCATGTGGTCTGTTTTGATGTGCGGCTTTATGCATGGCATCTGCAACCGCCGTAAGTGAAACGCCTTCAGATCTTTGTTGTCTACTTTCTCATAACCACGGCTCACGTAATACGTGACAAATGGCTCACAGGTAAATAAAGAAATAATTGTAAAATGAATGTCTGGTTTCGTAGAGAGGATTTCATTGGAAATAAGTGCACAGAATCAGAAGTCTAGACAGTGTGCTTTCAAGAGTCCTCCAGGATGGGGGTCTTGTGTTTGGCCGGTTGCCAGTCGATCCCAGTTTGCCAGTTTCCGATGGCGTTAGAATCCCACCGAATAAAACACAATCGTAAGAATGTAACGCGATATTTTAAATTGTAACGGAAATTCTGCGGGGCAACTGAGATTACCCTATGCCGCAAAGCCTGAAAGCACCGTTCAGCCGTTTCACACTTACTGTAATTCAACAGCAGTACAAATTTTACGAGACTCCAATTAATTTTGAACCCGAGACCTGTCGATTAGTAGTTTGAACAATTAACCGTTCGGCCAACAGCCACTCAGCACTCTGATTAAGTTTCACTTAGGAAAGATGAAATGCAGATCGTCCTTTGATCACGGGATCCACATCACACAACACCACATGTTGACTGGCAGTCTGAAGACGTCTCCATAATGACTTTTACATCGGCTGAATTTTACCCCACCTCCCAGCTACTTATACACTGTTGGTAGTTTGAAGAGCAAGTCAACATGTGTCTTGCTCGAAACACTAGCCGGGAGACAACAGATTCGAAATTCCTGCAGTTTTGTGAGGTGTGCACAGTTAATGACACAATAAGCCTAGAACGGATATGCATTTTTTGTTAGCTTTTCAGTATAGGTTGGCTTCACCGACAGAACTGCCCACATCCCTTCACATGACCAACAATTTGAACCTTTGTATGTCAGTGGTCGGCACACCATCGTCCCCAAAAGTAACAATTATATGATTATTCAGGTGAACCGAGTGACTCTTTTTCCCCATTTATTCTCAAAATTCTGTAACTTTTAACGTGAGTTCTCGATGTTCCAGCTTGGTGACAACCATTAAACTGAAGCTTGTTTTGCCAAATCACTTATTCTGATCTATCCAGATTTTGTGAATGAGTCCTGGAAACCTCAGAATGTATGTGGTAGGTTTGCACTTGGTTCGTTTTCCATCCTGCTTATTATTTCTTTATGATAAGTCTAATGACTGTGCAGCCTTAGATCGTTAATGTCTAACTGTCCATCTGTTGTAGATGATCATTAATCAACACGACTCTATGCAGCGTTGCACTATTTCGTATTACTTGTTTACGTCACAGTGAAAACTTCATTTCTTATTTAGGGGAAAGGAGAGATGGAGACTTACTTCGTCTGTGGGCACGATCAAAATTTTACCTTTGTTGATGAAGTTTCTGGCGAAAGGCGCCGGTTTGATGAGATATTGAAAGAGGACTTTCAGTGTTCGTGCCAAACCCCAACCGAATCTTCGCTATCCCATGGCTCCGCCTCGGTAGACTTAACAGATGAAGCATCGGAAGACGAACAAAAAGGCGATGCATTCAGTTCAGCTTGCAGTACCCCAACGCGAAAGGATAGCGACAAAGCAGACGGAACATTGGTCCGGAAAATAAAGGTACCCTTGCTACAGTTGCAGAAGGCACAATCAACAGATCGAACGGAGACCGAAGTTGAAGGTATTGTCATCGATTCTACACCTGATGAAATACTATCGAATGGTGCTGCTGTTGGTCGAACAAGAAAAACTGGTTTAGTGGGTCTGGATGCTGAACACTTGTCGCTAATAAATCCCCATCGGGAGGCGGCTAATACGGAAACAAACAAAGTGCTCAATGGGGTCGCACATAAATTACTAATTAGTAAATCAAATGAGGTGAGACAAAAGAAGGTGATGCGCCTTCCGGATGTCACATTTTCCGCTGAGATCCCGTCAGAAATTCCGAATAATCCGTATGAGGCTGAAGTGAGTAGAAGTGAAAACGAATCTGATGCCGGGCTGATTGACCCGTCGGAGGATTCTATCGAATCGCCACATTCCGGCTCTATCAAAACGCGCAGCCACACCATCCCTAATGGAATTGAAGGAAGGAGGCTCAACGGTACTCCACCTCCCTCCCCAAGAAACTCTGCCGGCAAATCTTACGTCAACGGACTGGGAAACGCCATACGGACAGAAGGTAACTTACTGACCTGGTGCAAGCACTTGATCACATTCGTCAAAAAGGGATTTTTTGCAATCATTAGCTACATTTCACTTTCCGATTCACAACAACAAGAATCGTATTCGATACTCTCGGCATCTGCCCGTATAGATTTTGGAAAGTGAGTTTTGTAGAATGCGTATGACACCATCATCCTCGCACTGAGTTTTTGGGCGATATCGGTTGGAAAGAAGTTAATATTGCACAAAAACAATGTGGGTTTGTGAGGGATTTTTTCAAAATATATGACGTAGACTGTTTTATTATCACTCTTCCTCAGTCCTCAGATTATCTGTATGGTGATAAACCAGTTTGGCCTTACACAAAACAATATGAAATTGCCAAGTACAACTAACAACCCACGGAATCAGGATAGACGCATCGATGTCTTCCTCTCGATTAAATGACGACAAGATGTGCAAGCGGCTGGTGTCTAAATCAAACACACCATTCTTTTCAGAGGACAAAAGTTTGGTCGCATCTTGTGGATCACGGAAATAAGTCACCTGACTTATTGTCTCCATCAATCACTTCTGACTCTTTCGTACTGTCTATGATGTTTCCTATTTGATGCATATGCCATAGTGGCCAACGATGTAAAGCAAAGATGTAGTAGTCAGCTTGGTGTAAACAACATCCCCAGTCAGGGTACCATGTGGTGGTCATCTAGTGGGCGGATAAGCGGGCTACTCCGAGTTGGTTCGGCAAGCAAGCGGACTTCGACAGCGTGTCGAAGTGCGGATTATTATAGATGTGGACTGCGAAAGGCACATTGAAGACACTACAAAGCTGAAAAAAACACCGCAAGAACAAAGTTTTGTTGAGTATATGATTGTCTGAAGGTGAGTGCGGATGGGATGCAATCACCAAATGACCACAATTAAAGAAGTAAACTGCTTCATTTACTCCAACACTGTCAGTTAATTCCGTGATAATCACGTCCCTTCTTCTGTTACGGATATCCGCACCAAGTCCATTGCTTTGAACTCCAATAGCCTGACTGACAACTTCCACTGTTAACGTTAGCCCACTAATCAATTGCGGCGTTACAGACAGCCGCACCGAAAGCGGTCATACCCAATGGGTGACCATACCATAAGTAGCCCTCAAACAGTTCCCGAAAGAATTCTTTACACCACTATTGCAACTCCATTGCTTATCCGTCAAAGCATTCTATAAGTTAATTGTCAAGGTCATTGGAATTTCAACAAAAATCACAAATTAGCATGCCCAAGGAAAGGTAGTTTTCAGACTAATTATCCACCAAGTTCTTTCCATTCATGGGATGGAAACGTTTTTGCCTTTGAACATATTTTTCTTTAAAGTCATTTTCAATTTTTTTCACAATATCATACCATAAAGTGCAAACAAAACGGTTGTTCAAGAGTGGAATTTCAAGGTGAAAAGCCCGTTCGCACATCATTAATAAGAAACACGTTTTCATCTGACTCAAGGAGCCTTCGATTCATTTAGATTGTGATTATGGTCACCTGGGAAATAGTCACCTGCATCCAGAATTAATTGTGCTCTATATTGCAGAAGACAAGAAACTGTTCCGAAACATGGTTAAAGAAAAACGATTCGGTCTTATGCCTCTGGTAACTCTGCGTTCGCCACATGCAGCCATTCTTCGGGAAGTGGGTAAGTAGAGGTGTTGAGTTTTGATGAGTGCATGTGTGTGTTCAGAATTTACGGATGACTTCTTTTGAGTACAGTAGAATCTCATGCTGTAAAACTGAAGAAACAGGACACATTTCTACTGAAACAATTTCGGGTTACACATTCATTTGCAAATGAATTTGTATTGGCATGAGGCTCTACTGAATTTCAACTGAACGCCTCGTTTGTGCCATTCTGCTAAACAAAGATCATCTCTTGTCTCATTTGAAACGAAAGTTTGAATGAAGAGTTTTGTTCTGGACATTACCTTGATCAAAACTATTCGGTAGTCTACAATCGGTTACATACGGAACAAATTACGTCTATACTGTGAATATTTACAAAGTGGGACACTATGTGGTTTTCGTGCGGCATATTTGGTTGAAGATCTCCTTAAATCCTTGATTCAACTAACTTTCAACGGATCTCTCTGGAAATCAATCTAAGTCACAAATGAGCATACAAATCAGGCGTACCGCGATCTGGATTACCGGCAGTAAACCAGATTGACTAAAACCCAGTAGTTAGGCTTACCGGACGAGCTTTAAAAGTGCCGGTTAGTTGGTTACATCGAGAAAAACGATTGGACAACCTGTATATCCCTCTAAACGGCAGCTTTTATCTAGGGAGGGGGCAGGTAGCTACGCATTGCAGGCGGGAGATGATAAATTAGTGCATAAATCCAGCACTGTCAGTGGGCTGTCAAGTGGGGGGGGGTTGGGAAAGGAGCTATGCATTGAAGGCAATAGCTTGGATTCACGGGCGCCATTGAGGGCACGACTGGGCCATGTGTGACAATGTCTCTAGCCATTGATTTGGCCCATCTCGGGGCCAGAAAGCACCTTCGATGTGACAGCTAACAGGCTGATACCACGGTGGTTATCACATAGCGTCGGTGTATTCTTTTTGAAGATAGGGATATCTGTCGACATGTCCCATTCTGCAGGCACTTTCTCCTCGTCCCATATGGCATCAATAAGATTTGTCAGGTGGTTCACCAGGGATTTTCCGCCTTCTTTGAAGAGGGCTGGATACAGACCGTCCGGTATTGGTGCCTTCTCACGTTTCAGTGCGGCTATTTCGTACCTTATTTCTTCTTCCGAAGGGCGATCAAGGTTTACATTCCATTCGTCCGTAAGCATTATCTCCACGGGCTGTGTTGGCTTTTATCTAGCTTTTTTCTAAAACATCTGGTTGAAGAACGCTAAAAAAACAAAGACTCATTAGACTCATCCGCTGACTGAAACATACGCTGTGCGTGCGTATGTGACTCCTTTTACTTAAAAGGTGATGCTGCGGGAAGCTCATAGACTGCACCTAGCTGAGAAGTCTCATGAATTGCGAAACCAAAAACAGGTTCTTGAATAATTTCCACCAACAAAATGGGAAGCGGTATATCAACAACATTGTGCCGAAGATATTGAAGATGCCATAAACTTATATCTTTTGAAGGCATTTCAAAAATGCGAGAGGAAGCATGGTCTGAGGAATTTCAACAACTGACCCGACAAATCACCTTACCAATGAGTAAAACGAACGATAATTTAAACCAACTGTATCAAAGAAGGAATAGAATGTACTCTTGAATCTATAGGAGAATGAACCAGTCGTTACACAGATTACGAATCACAGATACTTATACACCGACTGGTTAGGATTCCAGTTCAAAATTGGTCGACCGTATCAACATAGAGCTATATCATAAACTACACGTAACACAGGTGATTAGTCAAGAACCATGGAAAATGAGTTGAATGATAGATCACCTATTTCTGCAGGAGACCGTTGGTTTACAGAAATAGGACCACCCGACCAACCGACTCTCTACCACCCTACCACATGCCAGACGTTCTAAAGAAAATCTTAAATCACTTGATTACCGAATCAAAACGAATACCTGATGGTTTTTAACTAACAGGAGGGCATCGAAATAAAGGATAATGCAATTAGGTTATCTTTTCGTTTCACCGCTTTACTCACATAATTCGGTTATAATCCTGCAAATAAGCCATAACGGGGTTACTCCAGAACAATCCTAAAAACGGGCTGTGTGAAGCTGTAAATCCTACGCAAATATGGATTGTCGTATGTATGAATAATTCAGAATTGGAGAACAAACTTCATAGAAATCAAAAACAATTTAACGGGGAGTATCAAATATCCGGATCTACCGTCGAATCGGCAATGCGACAACTGGGGCGAATTGCACTGCTAATAATTAAACTCTGGGTCCGCAATGTAAACTACACTTTTTTGTATGATTCAATCTACCATACAGGACGCACACGACCTGTCCGACTCTGCGTTTCAGTATACTAAACTTACGAAAGATGAAGCCAGCAAGTTATCGTTACTTCACCAGTGCAGGATGGAACTGAATCACTGAGTGAACCTAGACTTGAGCGATGGGACTGGTTTCCCTGACGACTCGAACGGCGACCTACTAACTGCTCTGGTTATGTCGGTCGATTTATTCACCTGGCAGGACTAACCAGTCAGGTTGCATCAAGGACGCCTGAAACCTGCTGTGCAGCTTGTGATAAGTAGTAGATTTGTATCATTCACATTCACATCATTTTTAACTGAATAGCACCCCTCCGAATTGACACATTTATTTCGGTTAGTTCACACCAAAAAGCGCAAGGGGTGGATTTGAATTCCCAACTTTTTTGGGCTCATCGACAGAGGATATTCTTGGCCACATCCGGCAGACCAATTACACTTCTTCAGATGTACAAATTCTGACGCGCCCAACATGCACAGGTGGGGTAGTAGTGGTGATACGCTAGCCTCGCTTGTCAGATGCCTGGAGTTCAAATTTCGGTATGATCAAGGTCATGCACTGTGGTCCAATGAGAGCGAAACTGCACACTGCTTCTCCACCCTTGGTGTTGACGCACCAGAATAATTTCTTTAGGCAAGAAAAATGACTCCACAAACAGGAGTGATGAGAAGCCACATTCTGCACCCATCTATAAGATTGAAGACTTCTACCCACAATGAGCAGGACCAGGGGCGGAAATTGGAAGATAACACGCGTGGGTCATAGAGTAAACGACCATAGTGTAAACTGCCACAGCCACCATCCTAGGAAGTACAATGGCTTTGTTCAGGAAAGCAGAGACGGGGAGGCAGGTTGAAACTAAGAAAGACTTTAGGACTTCGCCTATATTGAATATTCTGAAACAACGACTACCGCAAAATTTCACCGGGAGTCTGCAAAACAAGACCCTGGAGGGCTACAACAGCTTGGTTGAGTAAACAAACGGATTGTCTTGCCGTACATTAAAAACGACTGAGAATTCATCACAACCAAAAGTCCAGAAACCGATTACTGCATTGAGGAGAGTGGCTTCAGGACGAAGGGTTAAGTTTATCGAGGCACATGGGATAACGTAATTTACTGAATAAACGGTAGGGGTTTCCATAAGTGTCATGCCAGGCAAACTAAATGAAAGAACACATTGCGATGCTCATAAAACATCAAGCACTGTCCATGGTTCTGGTACATAAAAATCAAAAGGGTACGAATTCTGTCCTGAAAATGTGAGGATTTTCGCACGTAAAAATACGGCGCAGGTTAGTGAGTTACTAGATGCATGTTGCCTGACCATCAGCTCAACTGTTTGACGTGGAAACTGACTTAATCTAAGATTCTATCTAAGGATTGCGGACACCACCAGACAATCCAAATGGAAACGCATGTCAGAGGGCGAACCACGTTTGACAGACAGGACAAAAGTTGCCGAATACGGGTCGGACAGATCACACTCAAAGGGCTGTTTTTAACGGAAAACGTGTCGGATTTTGACACACGAAACAAGTTACAGGTCCACATGGTCTTCTGACTGGTTAACTCCTGTTCCACAACATTGGATCCCCCCTTAACTCACTCGGTCGTGTCTGATAGTCCTTTGCATAGGTTGCATGACCAGGACGGGCTTGCTCTTCATGATAAAAAAAGGGGACCATTCGGGCTATCTATGTGACTCACCAGACAAACTTCACCAATCATACATCACAACATCATAGAATGAGTCACCTCCAAGAGTAAAGACTCTCATCTCTACTGAAAAGAACACATCTAAGAGGTTCCGCTGCCCCCAGTCACTGGAGGAAGCCCCCGGTTTTCTCAGTGTTTATCACCCATAGTTTACAAAAGTTAATGGTTTACTGAGAACCCGGAACGTAAATGCTACGCTGCAACCTAAGCAAATCTGCAAACTGGTTTTTCACTCTTCTGTTTCGCTTATTGTATCGTCATTTGACGGCGTCGTTAGAAGTAGCACTGTCTCAATACGCAACATACACCTAGACAAATAAATGCCATATAATCTTTCAAATGGTAGCAGTTTGAAAACGTAACCAGAGCACCTCTAATAGTCTCTGTTTTAAAAATTGAACAGAAAATGAACAGAAAATGAAGGAGTAAACGCTGGGATTATAGTGAATGAGAGGCGATACAGCTGTCATTACAAGTCAGGGGATTTCGTAAATTATACGACATTGCAGGCGTAGTTCGTTTCAAATAGTGCCACATTTTTATTACATTGTTTTATGGCTAAATAGTACACAGAATATAATACATATCATATAATGCATACAGTATAAGCACATACAGTATACATACATAATATATGTAGTATGTAACGCAGGATACCGTTATATTATCATACTATATATATATATATATATATATATGTTATATATTTATCATTACTGAACACACCCATTTGCTATAAATTTACTGGATGCATAAAACTAATAAGCGTAAAGTAATCCATTTGGAGGTGGCAAGTCTTTACAGCAGTTGGATCAAAGAACACAATTCACCGTATATAGTGAAGAGTCTACTTTATATCAGATGTGAAAGAAGTAATATAATACTGATAATAACGCCACAGCATAAGCAGAATACAATAATTCTAAACTTTCCGTTTTATTTGTAGTAAACGACATGGTCACGAGAGCGATCCAGAATATTTCAGTGTTCTGGAAGGGAACTATACAAAAGCTTCGTGAAGGTAGCTGCTAGTCCACTGACCTGCCCAAACTCATCAAGTGAGATAGTGTACAACTTACGGTCACGCCAAAGCACAGCTGCATTGAAACCGCACCAGAAACGACGAAATTCCTAGTTTAACATCCTTCGTGGAGTACACACCACCGCAAAGCACCACTTATAGCTAGAACAACCGTGAACCTTGCACTTATGCTTATCATGTTGTGGTATGTAGCCAGTCGCAGAATGCCTGGGGGTGTAAATTATTTTCGTCTGCACTGCATGTAATCCTAATTGGACAAAACTTGTCTTCCACTTTAAAACAGTTATTTGCGTTGCGCTTGTTCAAGTTTGTCGATAACTGCTGCTATTAATAACTTATTCGTTTCTTTGGGGGCGTAAAATTCAGGCACTTAGACTGGTAGCGATCAAGGTGATCACGTCAGCCCACAGTCCTGATCGACGAAGGCGTAACTAGTCGGTAGTGGAGAGTTCTTGAACCTGTTAAATATGCTGGCCGCAGAGGAATCCTGTTGTTGCAGCAGATTTTAAGATTAGCTTCACAATTAGCATTCTAGCACAGACACTTGTGTTTTTGTTTGAAATGTTCATGTTTATGTTTGAAATAAACAAGCCCCCACACCTGGCATAAGAAATTTCCTTTCAAGTGATACGAACGATTCATCGATGCACTCAGCTGCTTCGAGTGTGGCTCATCACAACTTACGATCACAGAGTAATAACTGCATTATGGAGTCTCTGGAGTGGCTTTCGAAAGCTAGTGACCCGGTAAAACCCATCAGTTACCCGGCGGGGTTGGTGTAAACTGATAAAAGGTGAGGAGATATGGTAGGTACTGAAACACGTGGTTACTGTACACACCGTCCTAGCTGAAATGCACTACCGGAGTATCCACAGGCGCATTCCACACGTACTACAAATCCCCTTGACCGTCAGGCAGTTCATGCTTGACCCCAGTATTTCAACACCTCTTCACCCGTAACCTTTTATTTAGCACTGATTTTATCACGTCACCGTTTCTAATTGCTTGTTCGTAATCGTGCCTACATATTCTGTTCGTCTATGTGGGTCTTTACCGTTGTTCTACTTGGCAGCTCGATAAACCTAGCATGTGTGTCACTTCCCGACACCCTTAGTTGTTTCAACTTTGCTCACCTATCGACCGCGCGACTGCTTTTAGGTGTGCACCTCAGTCATGTCTGCCTCTGTGAGGCACGCTAACGGCGGATCTTATAGTCCTGTTCTTTTTGTCCATTTTCCTTCAAAAACTGAGCGACTGAGACTTTCCGCTTGTGTTTTCTGATAGCTGTTTGACTGCACAGTGTTAAAGTGGGTTGCCTAGGCGCCGTGACCTCTCAGACTCCCTTGGAAAGTGTCACTCAACGTCCTGATTAGAGGGGATTCACCATACGTACTTGGACTTCGCATTCTGATATTTACCAAATCCCTTTCTACTTAACGCCAATCTTCAGAGGAAGTTTTTAGAAGTCTTACGGAGCAGAATACCAATTAGACTTTGTTAAGAGTTGTGCAATCGACCACACTTTTCCTCGAGACAAAGCTGCAATTGCACCCCTTTGACAATTTTTAGTTTGAAGAGCACGACAGACTGCGTTTTGGAAGCTGGCCTAAAATACGACTCAAGAAACATAAGTAATAAGAATCACCAAGACGTGTGCTAGTCGCGGAACTGAGATGTACTGTACTGTTAGATAGCGTAGAGAAATCCAATTTTCTGCCATCGTCCTTGAGTTTTCAAGAAAAGCAATAATCCTCCTCAGTGATAGGGAGCCGGGATTGCAACTGACTCTTAGGATAATCGAACCTTAATCCTTGAGTCCAGGAGGCCAGGACAGAATGTCCTTGAAACTATAATTGCCAAGCTTGTCGCTCCAGCACAACGTTTCTTGGTCTAGCTCTGGCTGACTTGTACACTCTGCCAATATCTAGTTAGCATTGGTGTATTGACCGACTTGAAGTGGGCTCACTATTGAGCTTTGAATCTTGTAAATCTGTGAAATTACTATCCATTCACGGGGTATTTCGTAACAATGCACTCTGTGGTAGTAGAAAATCGAGTCGGTTGGACTACTATTTTATAATTTTTATTCCCGTTTTATTTTCAGCCGAACCACTCTCACTTGGATGGACGGAACTGATGATTGTCAGACCGCATGACCCAATCGCCTATCTGGGACGCTGGCTTCACGAATATGCTGCCATACAAAAACGAAATGATTAGTCTATCTTTCTGTGATTTTTAGCTGACGGAAACCGGTTGTTTTGAAGGAAAACTAACTTGGCGAGTTAATATTCCCATCATTTTCTAATCATGTGAGTGGTTATCATTCTCTCTCCTCCCATAACCTCTGTAGACAATGCATTTTTGATGTACCTCATGATAAAAATTGTTTGTGAATGTCCTTTTTGAGCTACATTCATTTAACAAAGATTTCAAACATGCCATTTCTTACAGGCATAGGGCGTAACACCATTTTATATGCAACGCAGCGACAGAGCAACATTAATTAGGAAACGGAGCGGGTTTTCGGCGAGTTCCGGAATTTTGAGGTGTTTAGGAAAGTAGAAATTGGCGCGAAACTGTCAGGAAGTCATCTTCGGCTGAGGACAAAAAGACTGTTGGGTTGCCTGAAAAAGATATGTAAAGTATGGCATTTGATTCCGGCTTTATGATGGATTTTTGGTCGCATTAACTTTTGGAATTCAAACAAAGCCATAGGAATTCACCCTATCATTTTTGAGTCAAGTGGAGACAACCAAATTGGTTGAAAATTATCCTCCATAACTCAGCAATGAAACATCCGGAGCTGTAGAGGATAACTTTCTCAATATGTGAATGAACAAAAGAGAGCAATACTTCTGGGCTAAGTGATGCTTCTGTGATATGCCACTTTGAATCCCTGAAACAGATCTGTCCATAACTTAGTACACTATTCATAGAACTTCTGAAAACTCTTGGACAGTTGACATTTGGTTTCATCCTCCATAGGGCTCGTAATATAGTCGTAGTCCCCGAGTTTCCAGCAAGTTCATGTTCAGAGCGTGTGCCAAATTGTACGAAATTCGCGGAACAAACTCAGTTGAACTCGCTTTGAGATTAACGGGGAAACTCAACTAAATCTTTCTTTCATAGTATTCTCCGACTGCATGTACTGCCTAAGGCCTTATCATTTCCCATCTGGTACGATATTCGAGGTACCGCAGCATATGTCTTTGGTACTTCATACTTCTCATAAATATCAGCAGTGGGGGTTCCACTGGGCTTCTTTTTAACACCGAAGTCATTTGCAAGTTGGTGTATCTCGTAAACAAGCCTTCGTATTTTACTTACAACGATACCTCAGAAGGATTTTTAAGGACTCAATGGAATATTTAGTAAATATGCGGAATGCTGGGATACTGCAGTAATCCTCACGATAAAGATCTCAAACAAAATACAACACGAACGTATGCCTTCGTCTTAGTGTGAAACATATGGTCCTGTAGTACGCTGTGGTGCCAGTCGTCCGCCAGTGGTGACTGAAAGTTTCCAAGCTCAGCCAGCTGACCAACGACCACTTCACCGACAATCAACACATCACAGATATGTCAACTTCCAACAGTGATTTTTCGGAAACACGGCAATGAAATTGTGAAAGGTAATGTGTACATTCAAACGTAGTCACGCATAGTCGACGCAGTCCATACCGGTTACCTAATCTGGTTCAGAAGGCAAGAAAACTATGCATGGTCACAACAAATTTCATCAAAACTGCTCATACCATTCACGCGAACTGCTAAGTATGCCTATATGTCTCCCCATGGAGCTGAACAGCCTGCTGATTAATTCCTTACGAGAAATCGCAGAAAGTGATACGGGTGTCATCGTTCACACCGAAATACATGACATTACGCCAGTGGGTGAGCACAAGTTAACATTTGTTTGAATAATGCACATTAATGAAGCACCAGAAATGCGGCCAGAGTTTTCAGCTTCTTGGATTCAAATCACGTGTTATGGGCTCCATGTTGTACTATCTAGACCTATACCATTAGCCTACCAATAAGATCTGTGCGTCAGCGTCCTGTCGAGAAAGTGATAACAATTATTTCTGGTCCACAAGGGCGTTACCTATGACTATAATTTCATCTTACACAATGAATCCTGTTGATCGTGGATGACGCTAACATTTGATATCAGATGGACTTTATCGCTGTTAAAGCTAGAAAACTCACACTTGCTGTCCGTCCGGTAGACCTGGAAGTTTAACGATTATTCACAGCTTAATTGTTAGAATGTTCATGAATGCTAGATAACAATTTTACAACTCTATCATCACTATTAGTGCTATTCCACATGGTAGTCACATTTCATAGTTATATTGCCAAACGACATTTGGAAGCAATGCTTCATTCTGCATAGAGGAATCCTTTTTGTCCATCACATAAGGTTTATCAAGTAAATTGACAAATTACTCTCATATATGCAGAACTAAACGAAAATTATCTGGAAGGCGGGAGGCAGTCGCAAAGCAGTCAACTATAATTTTCGAGCGCGGAAGTTAAGATTAAACCTGAAGTACTCCGCTTATCTTGTGAATTGGTAAAACAGCTTAACAGATCTTAGGGCTACTGAAAGACAAACCAACTTCACCCCTTTGAGAAGCTAACATATATCAAAAGCCGATTGGGAAAAACGCCGCCCTTTGGAACTGTGAAGACATGGATGGGCAAAGTAAGTGATAGCGTGCAGTGAAGCTTTGATGCGAAGTTGAGGTGCGCTTTAAGTATTCCACATGCAATATTTTGTCCTTCCTACTTTTGCACTCAATTGGAGAGTTTATGGACAGAGTTCATTAGAAGACGAGGCCTAGTTATTAGTATTACACATGGCTTTTACAAAATTCATGCTTATGTTCTTTACCAACCTGGATGCGCATCAGTTTTATCAGACAAAGCACTTTTCAATGCGCGCATTGGCAGTACGAAAATGGAAGAGTTTTTTTCCAGAATACAAAACAGCATCACTCGTTTCTGTCAATGGTGGCCACGCCACCAGGTAGGTTTAACTCACCAGTGCTGAGCAGGGTCAGGACTATTGTCGTAAATTTGGTGGTTTATTCTACCTCTCCTGCATAATGTCACACTGCAGCAAACCACATCAAACTGATGCTCGAATGCACCCTTCAGTTTGCGGAGTTTAGTGTATTACGATAAGGCATATGACTATATATTTATGTGTACTTTGACTTATCGCGTTTTGAAAAGCAGCTTTATTGGAGAATCAAGGCCAATAAAATACTGTGCTTCAGAAATAGTTTTTTACTGAGGTATTTTACGGTTCGTGGAATTGGCGGTAGAGAAGGTACACTAACCGTGTTAACAAATGAATGACGGAACTAACCCAGTTCTAAGTATTGTAGCACAAACAGATATATTTAACTTATTTATACTTGGATATCAACAAGGTACACCGGAAAAGTACAACCAGTCGTTATGTAGCCAATCGTTCGATGAAACTCCATGCAGTCTGCAGCTTGTACATATGCTGAAATTAGGATCATGCATGGGCTGTTGTAGTTAAGTTACCACAAATGAATTACATTCTGCACCGTTATTATTTACGCTGCACGTTTCAATTCAACAAATGCAAACAAGTTTTGGCCACTTGCGTGCGAATTTACTGTTTGTGGATGATTACCAGGCTCACTTTTTGGAGTCCCATATTCAAACGACTCCTCTTTTGTTCTCCCATTTCCAAAGAAGCCGTAGTTAGTTCATCGTTCATTTACTTCGATGTTGCTGTAATTTGCTACGAAAGTGCAACCAAGTCTCCACAAAGGGAAAGGAGCATCAGGTGCAGTCTGTTAGCCTGTGAGGCGAACATCTAATGAGACATCTACTGCTTCACGCACCGACTATATTTTACCTTCGTTTTTCCTCCATACTTTTATATGTGCGTGCTTTCCAAAAGCATTATTTTTCACTTTTGAAGTGTGCGCCTTTCAGGTCATAAGACGCGAACTGTGCCTAAAGAATGAACGGTACTGTATCTTGTTTAGGTGCGAGCTAATTACACTGCTAACCATAATGGCAGTCGATTCATATGTTCTCGGTACCGAATTTACCTATGGATTTCCGAGATCACGGGCTTTCGCGAATGCCGGTTCGGGATGAAATAGTGTTTATCGGCATCTCAGCAATAGTGATTCCGTTAGCAGGATAAAAATTGAGGTTGGAAACTCTATCTCTTTATTTTGTTATCCAATGTCCTTATCTACTTTCATTTTGCGTATCGTCGTAGTTCGTGTGAAAATCAAGTGTTTTAGTAGTTTTGATAGATCACTCATTAAGGATTATAGTTTTGGAAAGGATGACCGTTGTCTGCATAGATGAAGACGGAGTGCTTGACGGGCGTGAAACTCCAAGAAATGACTACCCCATTAACATCAAGAAGAAAAGACAGTCGGTTTTGTATGCTCTCATTTCGAAAACCAAACCAGTGTCACAATGGAAACGAATAAAACACGATATTTTACAAGTGCACGCAACAGCTGGAGAACTGACATAACAGAGTCTTCGTGGAAGCCAGAGAAATGCGGTTTATCCAAAGACGAGAATGCATAAGAATACGGCATGGGTGTTTATTCCAACCACTTTTTATCTAATGAACACCTGTTGAGTGGCGGTCGTTGGAGACTAGTCCGGAGACATTCTTTCGCCAGCCTATGACAAACGGGACACTGATCACAATCCTCAATAAGTAGCGATTGTGCTTCGCGCATTCCTGAAATCAGAAATATGTTTCCATACATAAGAACTCGGAACCTATGGTCAACCTACCGTAACTGCACGCTCAAAAGCAGTTTTTATCATGTTTACTTCGGGCTATAGTTTTTTTTAATGAGAATGAGTACTGATCACACAGCAGCAATGATCAGGAAGAGCAGTTAATATCGATTTGTTGCATAAAAGTAGAAAACACCATAGATAATCAGTTGGAAAAATAAAGATACATCCGCTGGAAAATGGGTGATTTGGAAAGTTGTCGCCTGAAGCAGATACACAACTAAGGCAAACTAGAAGATTGTAAGAATCGCCGTTGAGAGCATAGTACGGGATCACTCAATCGTACTGCGGTCACTTCAGCTGTTACCAGGCCACACATTTGGACCGATATTATCAGATCACTAAAAGCCATCCGCTTCGGTTGATCACATGTTCAGAGTCGAGGTTATAAAGAGTGATTGAAACTCTGGACATGCTAGAGTCTGTTGTTATTCTGGAATACGAAGCGTCCGTGTATTCCTTTGCAGTTGCCGTTTCGCAAACCCTTCACAAACGAAAAAAGTGAGTGTTTTCGAAAGTGATTCTTAAGAAATTTCAGAATGCGATGCACGATACCAGACCGTCGCAGCCGTTAATTTTTTAGATCACCCATGGTCCGATGGGATGAGACATCACTTTCCGCTACTGGCTTTTTCCCTGAAGTACCTTTTTGTGCAACCAGACGATGATCATATGTTTGCTTACAAATTACCTGAGTTGAATGAATTCCGTTTGGTTATTTGGTTGTCATTCTGAATACATGAATGATTTACCTCATCCTTTCGTCAGTTCTTCAAATGGATACTTGTTTTCTGCACTGGCATCGGTTTTCCTTCAGAGTTGTATTAATCGAAACACAGTTGTCCCGGCGTAACCGGACTGAGCTTCACGACACTCTTGGAGGCGTCTTGACTTCGTTTATCGCAGACGCTGTGATAACCGGTCCGACTAATGGTTGGACTGCAATCAGTCTATCGCTCCTGCGTTTGGTACAGCAGACTACGACTGATACCACTGATTAAATTTTAGGCAAGCTTCATTGGTACCACACCAGCAGGCAATACAGACCATCGCACTTCCGACCGGCCCTTTCTGGCCAGAAGCCCTCACGCACGAATCTCCCTAGGATTTCGCGGGATACGTACCACGGATGACACAGCTACACCATTTTAGGCTGTCCGATATAGATTGGCGTCAACCCTAAAGCGAAATACCGCTTGGAACTTGAAGGACCTGGTTATCTGAAAATAAAGAATGCAACCTGGTTGAACCGAGCAAGTTCCTGTGGTTATTTTAAATGTCGCAAGTTTGAGTGTAAGGTCACTGACAAAGCAAGCGGTGGTTTGGAATATTTTGCTCACTGCAAGCATTTGATAAATGGGAGGATAAGATAAACAATGTTTACAAATAAAACATTTCGTCAACGTTTTTATACTTTTGAAGAATAACATTACTACCTACGTAAGGACTGCACTAAAAAGACCCCTAGGACCCGATAAACTAAAGCTCATGTGGTAGCATTTGAGTTTTAGGATCGGTGAGATGATGGTGTAGCGACTCGTCACGTGACTGTTTAACTTTCAGTTTACAGTTTTCGGCATCTCTGTGCAGCCCCTGAGAGGAGGCTAATTTGGGTGCTACTTTTTACAGGGTAGAACCAAGCAAACATGCACAAACCTCATTACAAGGAAAACAGTTATACAAAGTGTGGAGTCGAACACTCACTTTCAGACAAAGATGGCGCCGACTTGATAAAACTTTATTTTACGGTATTCTACAACCACAGGCGGTACATAGTGCACTCTGCATGATTTTCCTCTGGTGGTGCTCAAGGTATCGGATTATTCGTTGTTGATCCGGTACTAACTCAAAGGTACTCGAAAGTTCTTCCACAGACCATCACCGGATCAGTCATCGTAGACCATACAGTTTTAGTCTCAAAGCTGCATTATCCTCATTGTGTACTCAGAAACAGATTCGGCGTAGGCGGGATAAAACGCATTTAGCTGCTGATGTAATTCAGACTTGAATAAACAAAATGGTGATTGATTTGGCGCTGACAGTAACATTGACGAGCTTGCAAATACTTGTCTGGCTGGTTCTTGTTTGCTGCTTGAGCAAATAATGAGAGATTAAACAGATTAATGGAGACTCGGATACCATACGTTTCTTACGATGTCTAAAATGAAGAAGCCGAAAGTGGATGTCAAACAGCTTTACTTGTCCTTCCAAGTAGTGTTCTGTCAAGGGCTAACGATTTATTATGCACAAACGTGCAATTCAGCCATCTATTTCATCTACTCCACTATATGACGTGGATGAAAATTCAGACCGCAATTTAACATCATGCAAAATCTTTTGTGATGATATACAATAAAGATAAACTAATCAATCGCGCTGGGGTAATGAAGCTTCTTAGAATAAATAGCGTTCAAACAGTACGTCATAAAATAATTTTATGCAGAGCACCGGTATTTCAGACTTGAGTACTCCGATCAATACTTACTGCAACGTGTATGCTGGCCGCTAATGGGACATGCCAAATTAACGACACTTCCCTCCTAGGGTAACTTATTCCTGCCTCAGTTCGAAAAGTGCTTGAGTGAAAAAAAGGATAACTGGATCGAATGAATTGACGAACTGGAACGCATTGATCTCTACCTGAGGAGTAATCACAATTTTTTCACATTCTCACAAAACAAACCTTCTGTTTGACATAGATTCATCCAACTGGTACCAGTTCAATTCGAAATTTCGCCTCATTGAAGAAATTAGTGGACAGGTATATCCGCTTTAGCCGACTTATAGAATTCACCACTAATGTAATCCAACAGAATGCATGATAATCATCTGTTTCCGGAACAGGAACTCGGAAGATATTGTGTTGTAGGCAAATGTTGCGAGACGTAGTGGTCACCAGTCGTTGCGATTAAAACCCGCAACTCCCATATTGATAAATAAGCCAACAGAATTGCCCATTCTACATTTGTGTATTCCTTCACCTACTGCTGTGCCGTTTAGTAATACTACTGGATAACTGGACGCTTGACGGAACGACATCGACAACACCAGAAAGCCTGGCTTAGAAAAGGGGTGCTCCAGGGGCAACTGTAGCTTAACTGGTACGAATCAGACGTCAATTTGTTGTGGATTCTTCTTTGGAAATCATCAACAAAGCTGATATCTTAGTTAAAACTGAGTTAACCGCCAATTCAAGAAACTTCCCAGTGTGTCCAGAGCAGTGGGTGGAGAGACTGTACTGGGCATGGCCGCTATCGGGCAGTTCGCACAGGGTGCCTACTGGTTACAAACAATTTCGCTAGTAATTTTTGGATTGGCCTGCATGTAGAAACTGATAGTTCATTCTACTCTGACTTTAAGTTTTGAATGCCCCAACCCTGTAATTTTATAAACCGAAGTTTGAGTTACTAAAACGTCAAACCTGTTACTCTAAGTGGGTCTCTCATTTGCTTCTAGGTCACGGCTGTTATTCTTGCGACAGATTAGATAATTGCAAAGACGAGTGGATTATTCGTAGTTATCTTCGATAAGCTAGCTCTTATATCCCGGACGCAGTACCGGGATCAAGCTGTTTATCTTTTAGATACAATAGAAATCTGTTTTGTTTTCTATGGAGGAAAATGTTGATAGCTCAGGTGGTGTAGATGGTCGTTGGCTTGTTTGCTGAGCTGGGCAATTTTACTGCAAGACCAGAAGTGTTAGCTGGACTGATCCAGGACCGTTCTCCACACGCTTGCCAGGTCCACGCCTTCTATTCTGTTAACACTGGGATGATTGGCGATTTTCCCCGCCTCGACCATCAGTCTCTGTAGCGTGGACCGTGGTGTTTGCCTCAGAACCACAACACTTTCTGAATCTATTTTGCATCCCGTGGCCAGTGCTTATTCAGCCACTACCGAGGATTCAGTAACGCTCGATGTTCATCTGTATTTCTCGGCGGTCAATCCGTATTTCTCTTGTGCTCTCCGATTCTGGTGAAGTTCTCTGGCTTCTGTCCTTACTATAGTCGTTTCACTTAATTTTGTATACAAAATCCCTGGTTTTGCTCACCGGGGGATCCACTGTAGAGCGCAATGTTTCCCTTCTGGAAGGCTACTCTTATGTTAGCTCCGTTTAGAGCCCTACAAATGACACTAAATGTGGGCGTAAGGACACCAGCCATAACAAGATACCAGCTTACAAGTCGCTGAAAACTCTTCGACAGCCAACCACTGGTTCTTCAACTGAGTGTGTTTGTCGAAATCTGTCCACGGTGGATTCAAATAAACATAAGCTTGATGGAAACTCGGTGACTGCGCTTAACTGATGAGTCCTAAGTAGGGTGAAACCAGAGTTTCAGCAATGTGATTAGTTTCCTTTATGAAATTACATTGCAACATCTCGAAACATGAGGCGGCCTGGTGCAGTACGTTCAGCTAAAGAATATCACAAACGATAGATTCAGTTGAGTTTCCTGTGAAAACTACATTGATATCCAAATAAGTGTAATTTTCGAAAAGATATCATTGTCTTTCAACGTGTCTGTCGCTATTAGATTATATTTCGGACGTGATTTTTGGTCCCAACTAGCTGCTAACTTATCACGAGAGTAATCTGACGATTAGCGGACATTCAAAATCTGACTAGATTTAAACCATCACCTTTTCCACTATGTAAGAGTGCTCCGTGCCTTAGTAGAACCGGAGTCCAATGCTGGTTCCAGAATTATGATTCAGAGTGTCCAAATACTTGATCGGTGATTTCAAAAATGCCTTATTGTTTATTTACTTTCAGTTCATCATCAGCAGGATCGATTCACAACCACGAGAGTCTTGTTCAGGGTTGTTTGCTACACGAATACGTATCCTCACGGGCTTCCAATAGAATGATAAAAAGCAAAGATGAGAAGCAGGTGTATATTTCTTACACTGGCTTCTTGTGACGTATTCCAATAGACCATCATGAGTAGTCCAATCAAAGGAATATACTAGGTCCACAGGTATCATAGCCCCAGTTTTCTCTCTAAGGTTTTTGCTAGAGTGCGGGCAGTTGGACATGATGCAACGGGAGGACTCGTCAGAAGGATGTACAAGCATTTGTTCACGAGTCTTATGCAGCCCCTACATTGTCTGCACCGCTCGATAAGTTGTCGTGGGCTGCCATGTTTGATGCCTGAAAGTAATAAGAAAAAGACAATCATAACGTACAGCACTGTGACACTTATTCTGTAGTTAGCAAACCTATAAGTTATAACGTCTTCAATCGCGAGAGTATATAGTTACTTCTTAGTAAATGGACGGTACCAGTAAAATAGCGAGCAATTTGTGATGGACTGTTTTCAAAGACATTTAAAATCTGAAATTTATTCTGAAGAGATATCCTCATTGATGATTCCAACTTAACCTTCGGTGGAATAAGACTTATGATGTAGTCGACGACACAAAGGTGTCTGTTCCAAGGGCTTTCGATCTGAGCATGTTCTCTATTCAGTGGACTTGTGGATTATGTTATCATAATAAGTGCTTTAGAGACCAGACCATTGGAATAGAGTGATAAATAACAGCAGGGTCTTTTGAAAAATTACTCACCGCAACGCGCTCTTGGGATAACTCTCATGTAACATTTGTCGGTCACTTTTCGTACCAGTTGATTACATCGGTCAAGACTTTGGGATTCAGCAACCAATACAAGCAGAGCGAGGGTGACGAATGGCTCCAGTAACTGTGGAACAATAGTATGACATCAGTATATGTGGCCGGATGCATCACATCCGAGCTTCAAATGTTTGAGGACACACTTACATGCATTGTCAAGAGTCATACACGTTATAAAAGTATTAACCTTTGCCGTAATAATTCAAGTCTTATATAGCAAGACATTTCTGACAATCCCAACGCGAGATTCATGTAGAAACACGAAAACCCCAACAATGGCCATATACCGATTTGAGTATCGTACCTCTGTGTTCCGAGTGATGGAACATGTTCCAGTGCCATTTTTCATCGCTGTATTGCTCTCCAACGTCGAATAAGACGAGTAGAAGCAGATGATCGTGCGAGGTATATGTACATCCAAGCTTATTATCAACATCTGGATGCCGAACGATCGATTAAAAACCAAGCACATTATTATGTCTGTCAGTGACTCACATAGGTGTGGCTGTCTCATAAGCCGATAGTTTTTCTATTTTAATCTGTAAATCTGAAGCTGACTGTAGTAACTAGAGGATGAACTACTTGAAATCAAGCACAGTTACTAATACTGAAAGATATTCAGACTAACGCCATCAATACATGAAATTTATAAGCGGTGGTTCTACGTAGCCTCCATGTAGGAGGAAAACAAGTTTTTATCAACACGTACGTCCACTTGGATGTTATGGCAAGAAAGTAGGCTGGGTAAAGTACCTATGCAGTATGCCTTAAAAAGGAAGAGACAGGCAGTACCTGTTCGGCGGTTGACGTCATCGTGTCAAAGCAGGCTATACCTCTTACTGTGGATCACCGGGAATGCTTTCTGTAGTTGTACATTCCTCGAGGTGTTCTGCTCTAATAAATAGGTAAGATTCTATCATTAAACAGTTCTTGAAGGAAAAAAGACATGAGGTAAGATTTCTGTGATTTGAGATGTTTCTACAACGGCATTTTGATCACGCCCCCTTGGTTACTACCGTAGTGTTAAGTGCATATACCGTGAGGAGAGAAGTGAATGGCGGAATTTCGATTAACCGTGGGAATTTGTGTAAGCGGATAGTGGGAGAAAAGAGCCAACGCAGGTTAGACAATAGGGGGTATTGATTAGTCTGCAGTTCGCTGTGCCCTTAGGCAAGGAGAATAAGATCATGTGCTTCATGGGGATGGAAAATGATAAGCTCAAAAGTGTGAAACGAAGGCGTTGATTAGTCAAAAAAGTGAACCACTGCTGTAGCGCGTAAATAAATCCCAAGGATAAGACGAGAAGTAAATTAATTTTCGCTTATTTTCTGCCCATAACAGAGGTTTATAACGGGGAGCCGACACTTCTTTTGCCAACGTAAAAATGTTTTACTTGGGAATAAGGATAAGCTTAAGAGTTTTGAGGTCGTGTATAACGTGGTCATTCTCCAATAACTGTTTTCATATCGCATTTCTCGAGCAACTCTAACCCAATCCCTGTGTCCATTTAGGGTCGTGCTAACCATGTCAAGTTCTAAGACGTCTAGTCTTCCGAGCCATGTGTTCAGATCCGTGGATACAATCGAATGGATAGGTAGCGCTCAACCTAGCATGCTTATTCATCAGTCCTCATTTTGTTCGTGGTTGTATGCATATGGTATCCTGAATAATCGTTAATTTGGTAGCTTTTTACGTTCAATTTTCGGCTGAATTTAAGCAATGCTTAATCAGGGGGAGAAGCCATTACTCCTGAGTGGAAGTAATGGACAGACTGGCCTTCTTCGGGCAGTGAAGACAACTTCGTAAAGGTATTTGTGCTCTGAATCCGTATGGCTGAACCTGTCAGGAAACCCTGTCACCTCAAACATTTCATTTAAGTACGTCTTGTTCCATTCAATCAACTTCGGTGTTTGTAAGGAATATGTCCTACTCAGTACTTTTTATGCATTATCTGCACCTAACATCACGTGAGCAGCCGTTAGGATGTGAACATAATGTCAATGCGCAAAACATATTGTGAGGCAAGTTGAGTCCGCAATTCTTTAATTTTCCCCACCTTTTACGTCATTCTGTTCACTTATATGTACACAAAACTTTGAACTCTGACGGACAACTTAAGCGTCGTGCAATAAAATCAAGCATCTGGATGTAAACCTTGTTTATATCAATCGCACATCAAGCTTTAGTAGGTGAGGAATATCAACCCCCAGGGGTGGGGGCGACCTCTTTTTGGAAAGAACACTCTTGGGTGAACAGCCAAAACCATGGCTTTTTGCACGTCATTTCAACATCGACTGGAAAGTGCCGCATTGAGTAACTTATTTCACTGTTTGGACCCGTTTCAGTTAGTGGTTTTCAACAGATCACTCGATGAAATAATTTTCCAGTTGGTGGGTCAATGGAGCCTAAGCTCTTGTCGTGTACATAAGATCAATGCAATTTTTAGTGTGACCAAATCCAAACTGTCTGGTTAGTCCTCTTAGAATTTTTAGGATTCGCACTCAGGACCACATTCTACGCTCTGTGTGCTTCCGAACTTACAGCCAGAAACGCGTGTGGTGGAAACCAGTCAATAGTTGAAAACTCTTAAACATCCAGGGAGGGCATGAAAAAACTGGCTCAGCTTGCAGAGAATATACCGGTTCAACAGTGTTTACTTGTATGTGCAGCCGTAATTGGCACCATCACTAACCCAACATAGTCGACCACTGAAGAAAAGGTTTGTGGGCTGGTCTCGTAAAGCCAATTATTTTTCTTGAAATGATTTTACTACTCATAAAACATCTAGTAACAACTTTAACAAAAGCAATAGCATTAGCCGTAGCACGAATAGACGGGCAAGAGCTGGTTTGCGCGTTGTAAGTTCATATACTTAACGCTGGCCAAAGAAAAATGTCACCACTGAAATTGATTAGGACAGCGTTCAACATGGAAACACACAAAACTCTCCTGAGCTGGCAGTATCGACGGGTCTGGTGTTCCGGACAACGTTCCACCTAATCCACCGGATTTTCCCCGATACTCCATCTTGCCTTCAGCACAGGTCCTCAAAATTGAAAATCAACTTACTCCCTCCCTTCATGATGAAAAAGTCAACAGATACAAGCTGTGTTTTGTGATACGTCAGCGGAGTGCAAAATCATAACAAACTTACTCTTAACCAGTTGAGAAAATGGATACCTGACCAACAGGCACAGTGGCTCTATTTATTCTAACTAGACATAAATCAGGCATCTTATCTAAGAACATACCGTGAATACTACGAGCTTGGAATTCTGGCCCCTCAGTCAACCCAGCAACAATAAACTGGACAGCAGGATGAAATACGCAAGCCCCCCAACGTAACTCTCTGCATGCTCACGTCCCAGTCATCCTTGTTAGGTTCGGGCTCCAGTTGATTGACCATCCAGTAGTCTTGGGAACAACTTACTGGATTTTCGTGATTGTGTCTGTAGCGTACTGCTTTGAAACTTTCAACATCCAACTCTATTTAATTCCAATCCTAATTATGTACGTTTTCGGGAATATTAAGAATGTGCTGCCGTTGTCTATCATTAGGTGGTGTTACTTGGCCATTTCTGTGGACAGATGCTTTCAGGCCATGATTCTACTCCCATTCATTGGATGTTTGTTGTGAGTGCTATACCCCGTGCTAAAGTATGTCATTCTGTCTGAAATTCATCCGGCCACCGTACATCATATTCCTCAGTTCATCGGAAAACTGAAGCAACATTCCTTATGATGTTTTTTCCCCTATGTTGTGGAGATATGCTTGAAACCGGTGTATTTTCTTCATATTCTTAGTGTGCAGCTGATTGTGGCATACAGTTTAACTCTCCTCACAACCTCATTTGAACTTTCTGTTCATTTTAGCACAATTGCATTCCTTTTTTCTAGCATGCAATACACAACAGATCTCTATTGCATCTAAAATACAGATGCTTGATCCGGTTACTGCGCCCGAGATATAAAAGCTAGCTTATCGAAGATAACTACGAATGACCCACTCGTCTTTGCAATTATCTAGTCTGTCGCAAGAATAACAGCCGTGACTTCGAAGCAAATGAGAGACCCACTTTGAGCAACAGGCTTGACGTTTTTGGTAATTCAAACTTCGATTGATGCAGTTACAGGGTTATGGCATTCAAAATTTAAAATCAGAGTAGAATAAGTTATCAGTTTCTACATACAGACTGATGCGAAATTACTAGCGCCGAGGTGAAGATGTCACCCTATGGCGACATCAGAACTGTCCGATAGCGGCCATGCCCAGTACAGTCTGTGCGCCCACTGCTCTGGACACATTAGGTAAAGTTTCTTGATTTGGCGGTTAACTCAGCTTTAACTAAGATATCAGCATTTGACTGATTCGTTGGGGCATTGTAGATCATTTCCAGAGAAGAATTCACAACTGATTGGCGTCTGATTCGTATCTCTTAAGCTACATATGCATCTGGAGCACTCCTTTTCTGGCCTTTGCTAAACCAGGCTTTCTGGTGTCGTCGATGTCGTTCCGTCAAGCGTCCAGTTATCCAGTAGAATTACTAAACGGCACAGCAGCAGGTGAAGGAATACACAATTGTAGAATGAGCCATTCTCTCAGCTTGAATTTGACTAAAGTCTTTCATTGAAGCTGACTTTGTTTAGTGGGCAACTGAGATTGTGCAATTCAGAGAGCGTTTAGAGTGACTTGTCCAACGAAAGTCACCCCTTGTATTTATCCGCACTTAGTGATAAACCAGGTTTGGTCCTCTTGCAGAATAAAGTGATTAATCCACCGAACTTGGACTGCACTCTGTCCGGACAATGTTGGTGGTGACTTCACTTGACAGGCAGCAAAGTACCTCGTAATCCCTAACCTTTTTTCAATCTTCATTGCTGGGAATTGTGACACTTTCTTGTGGACCGACATTGACAATAAAAAATCGCGAAATGCGGAATTATCTATTGATACTGTGGTCGGCTACACTAGTTACACCTGATAAGACATTTAAGGCCAATGGATCGTACTCCTGGCTTAACAAATTCTTTGATACAATAATAAAACCGAGGTTAAACTTTACGAGTGAAGAATTAGCTTCAAATGAGCCGTCTGATTAGGGATTATCGAAAACTCGTGACACGAACATACTCTGATTAGCATTTGAAAGTAGTTTGCGGAATTCGCTTTGTTCAAACTCAA